GAAACTTCTAACTAAGTCCATTAATTTTTACCATCTACAATTTAGGAACGAATTGAAACATTCCAACTCGTATCTGCAAGCCAACGAATATGCCATACGATAGCCTAAGCCATGCATGTGTAAATTCCATTGTTTTCCATCAGTATTCACAATTACCTCAACCCTCTGCTTCCATTCCTTCCCTGTTACACATCAGCATACAAGCCTTAACAATGTCTTCCTCGAAAAAGAAATTGATGACTTCGGGGCTTGCTGTGCTGATCGTATGTGCTCTTTTCGCAAGCGAAGCAGAGGCAGGCAAATATATTGGTTATGGAGCTATTGGTCGAGGTGATGAACCCCTTTGTACCCCAAAGCATCCATGTCAGATGATACCTGCAAATCCGTTTACTCCGGAGGAAGTTACTGCAAGAAAACAATATATAATCAAGCAATTGGCAATGTTCTATAAACATATAGATTGCGGTTGCACATTAACCTTTTACCAGTGCCTCTCCACCCCATATTTACGTCCTTTTCATAATAAAATCAGATATTAATACTTATTATTTCTCTCTCCCTCTCTCTCTGTTTCATTGAAATTGAGGCACACACAATGCTTTCTATGAATTCTTACTGTGAAGCGTCATGTGATTTTACTTTTCTCTACGTGTTTTTGCCAACGCATGCTTGAGAGAAAAAAGAGGTCAAAATCTATTCGCCATGATTTTCCTTGACCAGCCATTGCTCTACTGTTGTGTCTGGCATCAATTGCACCGTGGAGGTGTCCTATATAAGGATTTGGTGAAACAAAGCAAGTTCGCTAGTTTAAAATGCCTGTGCATTTATCAGTGAAAATTTTTAGGGACAAATTGCTTGGTTTATGAGAAAATTTGTGTCCGAAACTCTTGTGTTGATTTACATGTAGGCTTGCAACAGAGCTGACACAATTTGTTGAGCCAGTGAACTGCAATTTTCCTTTTCAAGCCTTCTTTTGCATAAAGGACTGGAAAAATTTAAAAATATACAAGCTGTGCAACTATTGAATTGATAAACTGAACTGGAATGGTAGCGTATCTTCTTGGAGGGTGTTTATCTTTTGGACGGTGAGCATCCTGTGGCTTCATAAGTTTGTTCTAAACAATATAGAAACAGACTAGAAAACTTCAATCGAGCCATTGCGAAGAAAGCAAAATCATGACTATATAGAAAAGAAGTATAGAGACAATATACAAGTGTGCTAATGACTGTATTCAACCATCTGTATTTGGTGCAGTTTCTTGTTCTCTGCTGGCTACTGTATAAGATCAACAAGCTTTCAGGAGCGATACTTTCTAAAAGCAATTCTAACGCAAGACGCCGCTGAGGGGATGTCACAGTTTAGTACTATATTGATACGTCATCCGAACTTCTATCAGTTTGTCATCTTAAGTCTGTGTGAGATATATCCTGATTTCATCAACTTCTCACCTGTAGGGGGCCAGGACATGTGATAGAACTTCTCTCTGTGGTTTAGTAAAATTTGGTTCTGACATTTTCACTCCTGATTCTTCAACCCCTGTTTTATATTTGTTTCATAGCCGTCTTCTTTTACTTTTCTCAGTTTTACTGTGGCAGACTTATAGCTGAAGTTCTCGACAGGACTCTGAAACTATTCAAGGATCTCTATATGTTTGCGAGTTTATGAAATTCAGAAATGAACATGTCTGTCTGACTAGTGGGTGGTTGTTCCGATTCATAGAGTTACGAAAACCTTACAGGTCAAATAACTGTGTGAATTAACTGTGTAGAATAATATTGCTGCAAATTGTACTGACACTCCGATTTTGTACGAAGAAGTATTTTTTCTGATAAGAAAACAGAAGACAAAAAAGAATATGCACCTCCGGGCACACTTACAATCCTGCGGGGTCCATATCAATCAAAGCTTCAAAAGATGAAGCTAGGTTATTAAAAAACCAAAGAGGAATTTTGATGTGATTTCATTCGGCATTATGAAGAAATCAACATCCGGGTGGGTTGAATGTTCCTAAAATTGTGGGCTTGACATTAGCACACTCGGATTTTGCAGGGCCTTGAGTTCCACTATAGGTAAGGTCAATGTCAGCAAGCTCAACCTTCTCGCAAGGGATGCCAGTGCTACATAAAAGCTGCACAGCAATTGGAGTGGCGGAAGTGCCCCTTATTTTCTTGAAACTAACATCGCTTATCTTTACTTTTGATGGAGCCTATAAAGAACATATCAAAATCACAAAAAACTTTCAGTAATCTCCACTTGAAATGGCAACATAAGCGTGCGTGTGTGTGTATTGTACCGATATTGCACAACAGAGATATTTCTTCTTCCTTTTTCTTGTTTGAGATTACCTCTTTAGTGCACTGATTCCATGGGCAGTACATCTGATCTATGAGAATGGGGTTCGAGACATTGTTCATGATAATATCTTCAAAATGCATAGTTGATGCAGAGCCACCTTGTAATCCAGGCCAAGATTTAATTCTCACACCATTTGAAGTATTGGAGAGGGTGCAGTTCTTAACAAACACTCCAGAAACGGGTTCTTCGTTTTCGTACCTCCCCAAACTTCCCACACTAATACCATGACCAGGTCCACATGTTACTCTTTCAACATTTATTTGTTGGCTGCCATCTCCAAGAGAGATACAGTCATCACCCGTGGCGATTTTGGAATCGATGATGTTGACTCCATTTGATCGTCCGATGTGGATTCCATCCGTGTTTAGACTATCACCAGGCGCACTGATTGTAAAATGTTGAAAGGTCAGGTTCTTGCATCCCAGGACATTGACATGAAAATTCTTGCTATCTAGGGAGGTTATATCTTGGACTATTCCATTGGTGATGAAATTGAACCTGAAATTCTGATCAATATTTGAAGCAAACAAGAACACACACGAATCAAGCTTTGTCACTTACCTACAAGTAGCCTTCATAAAACTAATAACTTGAGAAAAAAGACAAAAAGTTCTCTTCACAAGATGGTGAGGGTTTTACCATGGGGAATATGTCACATTTTGGATCCTTGTTACAATTATTTTTTTCCCATGCAATTTTTCCTTGGCCATCGAAAATTCCACCACCAGACAATGTAAACTGGTCGACATTTTCGAAAGTAACCCAGCCATCTCCTTTGAGTTCACTAGGTTCCACCGGAGACTTCAATGTGCCTTCAACTCTTAGCTCAATCGGAGCCTTGCAAGGACCTGACAGACTCACTAGGCCTAAAGCATGATCTCCATTTGGAATCAGAACTTTGCTGGGGCTTGTGGATGCACATGCTTCTTTCCAGGCACTTGTTAAAGCCTGAAGTGCCACGAGAAAAAGAAAATTATTGGATGCATGTTTAATCTACTAAATATGAATCTGCATTTTGCAATAACAAAGTGATGGGTAGATCTTGAGTTCACTTTCTACATACAAGCTTACACACACATACACACGCAACACAAACATACCTGCTGGATATCTCCGGCACCACCATATTTTGTGACATCAAATATACCATCAGACTGGGCTTTAACAGTAGATGCCAATAACAATAGTGGGATGAGTACCGAGATAATGGTTTTCGAGGTCATGTTTTTGCTAGAAATCTTCTTTTCTTTTGGCTAAATTTGCTATGGAAAATGAACTTATGCTTGATCTTCCTCTATGTGAATCATTTTATAGGCAGTGGATGACGCTCAAAACTACTCTTGAATCAGTCAAGCAATTAATCGCCTAATTTTATCAAAGGTATGGGAAAGTTTCAAACTTTTATGGTTCAAAGTCACTTCTATTATTAGATAGCTTCCTTCAAAAATTTTAAGCCAAAAATCTTTATTACATTAATCAATCTAGGAAAATTTAATTAATAGGATGTTGTTTGTCTACTAGTAATAAATAAAGATGTGGTAAGGAGGAAGTTTTGGGTAATACCTATTGTGTTTTATTGTTAAATATAGATTACCTCCTATTAATGAGTTAGTAAAAAAATTATTTTTTGGAATTTCATCTAATAACTTAAGTTTTAGAATTGATATAATTTTTTGATATGGTATTATATATAGTCTTCCTAATTAAATGATTAAGAGCCAAATCTCATCACTTTTATTTTTTATAATTAAATAAAAAATAAAATGCATGATTTGACAATTTAGATTCTTGACGATGAAGGTCAGATCTGCACTGCAAGAGATGTATTTCAATACAAAGCAACCTGAAGAAGTTCACATTCTGCTGGAATGTTTCTGAGCAGTGATTTGTTCCGTCACTCATTAGATGATTATTTTTCTGATTCGACTTTTAACAGAACAGATTGTAAATATCAATGATCTAAAGCTTTTACATTGTTGAACTGCAAGGATCTGTACTTTTTCACTTCTACATTCTGATATGATCTCTGAGAATTTTAATGCAAACCAAACTATTCATGATTTGTTCCTCATTTTCTGTAAGTAAATCAATAAAACAAGCAACATCCATGTTATGGATTTTTTTCATACTTATCTTCTTCTTCTTCTTCTTTTGTGTTGGATCATCGGATTTTTCCTATAATTTACGAATAGTAAATTTTTAGGTTTGAAAAAATTTTAAAATCTTTGGGCTGAAAAATCCTTCGAATAACCAAAAGAAAGGGAGAAAATTCTAATCACCAGTTTGTACTCGTGATTTTGGAAACCAAACACACTAATTATGAGGTTGTGTTTGACACTTTGTTCCAAATACAGGATACAAGAACTACATATTTTATTATATTGACCTCTTCCAGATCCTTCATCGATCCATTTATTTTAGCTTATTTTAACTTCATCATCGTTAAAAAAATAAAAATAAACGTAGCCTATTGCTAGCTTCATCGTTGACCAAAAATCCTTGGAAGCATTTAAGCACAAATAATAAAAATTAAGATATAAATGTAAAAACACAATGGAACATTAGCCATGTTACAGGTACTTCAGGTTCCTCTCCTTTATCTCCATCCATTGTGTTTCCATTCTTAACTGGGGTTTGAGATTCATCACTTGGGAAATGATTTGGATATGGGCCGTCCGTCACTGTATTTTTTACTGTGGAAACTTTTTCGATCACTGCTACTTTGAGAAGACAACTTAGGCTTATCTTCTTTTAGCTCCCTTGCGGTTGACTGGTCTGCAGATGACTTCTGATGGTTTCCTTCACCTTTTCTACAACATGGATCCGATACGACGTAGAGGTTTATCCCTACCTTCCTTCGTGGGTAAACTCGATTGCATTGCTGATCAAGTTGGTAAGGATTTTCCGGATCCTAAGACCATCTCCAGAGATCTGAAATTAATGCATAATGTCTTTAATAAAGTACTTGAAAAGCTAAATAATTACCAGATCAGTTATTTTTCGATTTAAAACCATGAGTTCAGCGTATTGCAAACCCCTACAGATAGCAACAGATGTTGCCTTCAGACAGAGCTAAACGGCTCAAAAAGATTGATGTTTGCACATTCAATTAGTAGAAAAACAATACTCATCGGCAATGCTGCATCTAAAATTCCTCTTAAAGTTTAGTCTATCCTAACGGCATTGGTGAAGAATTTACCTCGATGGGGACGTCATCAGCCACACGTCCTTCCAAGGTCAGAATCTATTGCTGAAAACTGGCTCTACGTAAATCAAAAATGTCTTTGAGCCAAATAAATCTGTCTCAAATGTGATTTCCCTCTTTGCAGGCAATCCTTTATCCAAAACTTCTTTCTTGAAATCTTGAGATTCCTTCACTCCTGCGCCAGAAAAATTTCGACATCTGTTTTTCCTATAATTTCCTGAAAATGAAATGGGCAATAAAGATAGGTAAATCAGTTGCATTCGAGCTAGCTAACAATTTTTTGAAGAAGAAACAGGAAAAAGAACAATGAAATGGAAACGAAAACCTGTGTGAATCACAATTTCTTACTTCCTCTTGCGAATGCGGAAACCGATTATAGATAAAGCGATATCTTAAATCTTTATCCTGAAAGAAGAAATTGTCAAAAAAATCGGACCTTTGAGCTAGAAACTGGCCACAGGCAGGCAGAAAGAAGAGGATTATATCATTTTTACTCATAATACCTGATGGCCTATGATAACTGGAGCATCTTGAAGTACAAAATGTAAGAAATTATCAGCCCTTTTCAGAATCTGTGTCAACTCTTCAACCGGTGTCGATTGTTTTTCCAAATTTTGTAAGTTTTCTTGTAATTTCTCCATCAGTAACTGCTCTCTGTGGACACTGGCCTCCGACAATTTCTCTGAATGTGCTGCTCGCTGTTTCCAGTATGCAACAGTGTCGAATTCTCCCTTGCTTTGAACAATGATATCTCCTTTTATCCCAGGGATGTCTTGATATATAGAAATCTGTCGTTTATCACCACTCTATCTTTCTTCCTCGGACTGAAAATCCTCCCTTTCTTGAGCTCAACTTCCTCCCTTTGTTTGCTTAAGCTATCAAGCTCTTCTCTCAGAATGCGGACTGCATTTGCCTGTTCATACTCCCACTGTTGTACAAGTTGTGCCAACTGAGAAGAGCCCCCATCAGTGTAATTCGTCAGCTCGACAAGATGGTGGAAATCAACTATAGTTGGCTCCTCAACTATTGTAACCTCCTCTAACATGTCTTGATCCCATACCTGAATCTCTGCATATGGCTTTGAACTATCCATATCTTCAGGCCAATTGATTTCAAGACTTGAACAGTACTTAGGCTATTTGACTTTGATGATCACCACAAACTCGAAATTAAAAAAAAAAAAAAAAAATTGAGATTCAAAAAATGCAAATGCTAGTACCAAGGTATCCCAATTTAAAATATCTATAACTTCTGATTCTCTTAATTTTCTGAATTATCCAAGTAATGAGAACGAAATACCACTTGCCAGAAAAGAAACCAAAGAGTATAGAACTGAGAAAGGTGACACAACAGCCAGAACAGCTTATACGATACCAACTAGCAGGAACAGTAGTAGTAGAAAATCAAGATACCAATCAAACTCTTATTGAGAAAGGAGGGTTCTTTGCAATTTATAAAATTATGAAGGATTTCTTTCTTGCATTACATCATTTATCCACCTCAAACAACGTTAAAAGACAAGAAATGCAAACTCATGCCATCGTCACAAACTTTTCACGTACAAAACAACAGATCCATCCAAGAAAACAATTCAAGAAACAGAAAGAAAAGAACATTGAATTCAAGAAAAGAAACAAACGAACCAACAAACCTTGGAGAATGCTGATTGAATCAGAGTTCATGCAACCAAGAAGATCAAGAAAGTAAACTTGGGCAGACAAGAAAATGAAAGTTGAAGGGGCAAAAACTTTTCCACTGTAGATCTGATGACGACGAATCTGGATTCTGGCCGTAACTACTGAGTCAATAGTTTTCAATGGAACATTAGCCACTAACAAAGAGAGAAGAGAAGGTATAATACTGACATTATAGCCAGCTACTAGAACCAAGAAGCCATGTGCATTTGGAGGTCGGAAATAGATGTAATTAGATATTCGATGTACAAATATTTTATTTTTTATTTAAGAATCTAAACTTTAATATTTATTAGTAAGTGATTTCGTTAACTCTATATAATGATGATGCTTCTGTTAACTATATACGTGACACCGTCATATGGATGATGATTTTGTCACGTACATGAAAATAAAAAAATAATAATAAAGAATAGAGAAAAAAAGCATAAAGTAAATTTACTTGAAAAAAAATAGAAAATGAACAAAAGCAAGAAAAACAAAAGGAGATGAGGGAAAGAAAGAAAAAAAAACTTACATAAATAGTTTCATGATAAAAATTATTTTGTAAGATTTATCTGGACTTCCCAAAAAAATTTGAGATCATTCTAGATTATTTTTTATTTTTCTTGATTTTTATATTTTTATTGTTTAAAAAATAAACAAGTAAAATTTCTAACCTTGAAATTTTTTGGATTTTTTCTAAAAAATAGATTAGATATTTTTTAAAGTGTGTACAAAATTTTATATCAAAATTCTAAGAATTGAATTTTTTTTAAAAAAAAGATGAATAATAATTAAAAATATTAAAATAGATTAAATCTTAAAAATTAAAAAAAAAATCAGAGAAGTCAAAACACAAATTTAAAATTTTAAAATTGATTTTTTAAAAAACTAAAATAAAATTTATGAGAGATTTGGACTTAATAAATTGTAAAAGTTTTTTGTTTTTTTGATCTTTCGTGAGAATGACTTACGATAACCGACATGAGAAGGGTGGCTATTTTCATGTTATGAATAACCTTTACCTGTTAGCAATCTTCTACATCAGCATTGCACTGGCAAGTGTGGCCAGATTTGATCTGGGCCTTAAGATTGGGTTCATTGGGTTGGGGGCCTATTGGACCCCAAAGCCTCTAGCTTGTATTTTCATTTGCATCGGGTTATGAGATTTGAAGCCCAGTGGATTGAGTCTTTCCTTTCTATCCTTTTTGTTTGTCCAATCCGAAATATAAATGCACGTATTAATAATACATCATTTTATGATTTAGCTTGTTTCGCTACAATTATTATATTCTAAGTTGGAGAAAATTAGAAAATTTTTAAAAGGTTTTTTCTATAGAAAATAATAATAATAATGACCGAAAACTATATTCTTGAAAAAAAGTTGTTTAACGCGTGTCTTAATACGAATGTTAAAGATTAATTTCCGCTAATCTATAGAAAGTATTTTGCAAATGAATTCTTAAGTTTTAAAATTTAAAATTTTTGAGCATGTTAGAAAAATCCTTTGAAGAACCAAAAGAAAGGGAGAAAGGAGAAAATTCTAATCACCAATTTCTATTCATGATTTTGGAAACCAAACACACTTAAAGAAGTTTTAAATTACTGTATTTTTTGAAAGAAATATCAAACACAACCTCAATTAAAGACCATTGATTTGGCATTTGAGGTTGTAGCCTAACAAAACAAGAGCTTACCCCCGAGGACTATTCGGGTTCGACTCTCTCGCGCGCGCCTATCACCCCGCGGTGCCTTACATGCTCCTAGGCTTGCGGGGTGTTCGAGTGGGCTCCGGGGATTAATCGCGATGTGCGCAAGTTGACCCGGACACCCTGTATTACTAAAAAAAAAAAAAAGACCATTGATTTGATTGATCGATCGATCTTGGTATTGGAATAGACCTTGCATTAGCCTACTAATTATTTTGAGTAGAGATGTAACTATGAAAGACCCAAATTTCATTCAAAAATCTAACCAACTGATTAAATCATCACATGGCTGTGCCCAAGTCTTGTCTATTCAGCCTCAACTGACTTGATTTTTCTTTCCCAAATTTCTTCACCTAATTAATTTATATATGCATTGATCTCTCACCTACCTAAGCTCATTAAGTAATGCTTAAAAAAAACAAATAAACAAACAAAAACAAAAACTACAAGGTGATGGACCTTAGAATAGTTCTAAGTAGTATTTGGTGATGAGGTAACTTCTTTTTAGGACTGACGTAATGGTAGTGATTTAATGACTTGACGTATCTACAAAACAAATTTTTCTAGTAAGTTAGAAAACTTTTCGATGACTAAATTAACATACAAAGAGAGAAAGCGACGTTACAATTGTGTTGGTGTATAAAAAAAGATGAATAGTAATTTTAGGGTTGAGAGAGAAGAACTCTTAAACACTAGTTATTAAGCATTTATATATCGACGGCCTTGATCAAGTTGCATGGAGAAGAGAATAGAGCAGTCCATTTCTTTGTTGTCAATAGCTTTTGATAACAACTCGAGAGACAAACTTTCTTACAAGTAATATATTACTCTTTGACCAGTTTTGTAACTTTTGGTCAGTGCAAATTAGACAAAGGTAGTTTGAAAAGCATCCATTCATTAAATAAATAAATATATATATATTTTTATCCTTTTGATTGTGGAGATAATATTTAGTTATTCTGGTCGGTCATTTGGACGAGGATCGTGTAGGACATCTGTAGAGGCAACTATAAGAAAATAGTTTGTCCGTTGATCGAATCTGATATTCAAGAGTAATATGATGATACATATCATCTAGGTATATCAAAAAAAGGTCTATCAACCAGATTTCAGCTTTTCCTAATTTTGTGATAGCGTATGTCTTCTTAATTTCTATCCCAATAACTCTTTATTTTCTTTTCTTTTTTTCTTTATTTATGGCATTGTGAGGTTTAGACGATCGTAAAAATACATGATTTGAAAATATAAAATCCCTACTCAATTTTTTAAAAAATAAAAACTAAGAAAACCCTACCATGACTCATTTTTATGTTCTATTTTCTATCCTGAATTACAATATTGGAAAAAATCACAATCACTGTAATGTACCTTCTTAGAGAGGTTACTATGATAATTCCAATATAAGGAAATTTATTAATACAAATTCATTTTTATGTTCTATTTTCTCTCCTGAATTTTAATTTTTTTTTTGGGTCTTTTTTAACCAATGCTAGACAAGACGATTTGGAGATTGAAAGAAGATTTAGTTTCTCATGTAACTTGTCATCACTGGGCAATTTGAGTCTAATTAAAAAGGTGAAGTAATGATTTAAATTTCATTTGCAAATTAAATAATTCAAGGCCAAAAAAATAAAGTTGGACCTTAGGCCCAAGTCATCTATAAAACCATAGAACAAAAATTAGAAATTCAAAAAACAAAAATCCAAAATGAACATGGATTTTAAGCCCACATTATCCTGCCTCATCTCGTTAAAAAATTTTATAAAATTACTTTCCGAGGTCCAATCTCAAATTATAACTTGCTCTGACAAAGAGGAGTTAGTGGGACCAACAAAAATAAAATGAAATGAAAATATAACCTAAAATGAAAATAATAATAAATAAATCTAAATAAATAAAAACTCCACTGATCTACACTGATATGATATCATATAATCACATAAAATTGAAATTGCAATACATGAGCAATACCTGATTATTTTGGCTTATTTTAATTTCATCGTAGTAATACATAGATATATATATATATATATATATATATATATATATATATATATATATATATATATATCTTTTTTCATTCATACATTTTTATTTTTTTATTTTTTTCAGAGGAGCATTTAATAATGGGTGATTGACCATATTGACTGTTATTTTTCTAGTGTACAGAGATATACTGATAATGATTGGAAAAGGATAATGGGACCATTTAAGCATCATGAATACCTCTGAATCATACCATAAGAAGACCAAAGAAAGTTTCTAACGAAATTGGCTTGATAAGTTTTATGAATTTTAAAGAAAACTTTTTATATAATTTCCACTCGCATAAATGCATGATTTATGGAAATATTCCCAAACCAGCAAATCAATTAATCCATTAATTGTGTTTCAACTCTCAGAATAAATTATAAAATAGTCTCTCTAGTTTTATAAGACAAATTAATTAATCTTTTTTGTTTTAAAAACTATTATTTAAACTTAATATTTAAAATTTTCTTGTAACTTAATCCTTTTTATTATTTTTAAATTTATTTTATTTTTTATTTTAAGACATAGAAAAAATTAGTAAAAATATAGAAAAATTGATGAGAGAATATGATATTTTATAAAATAAAATGATATTAAATTAAATTTGATCAACACTGATTAAACGATTAATTTTTAAAATAAATATGACTAATTAATTTTTTTTTGAAAACTAAAGGGACTAATTTATAATTTGCTACCTCTGTTCAGCTGAAATCAGTATCTCATAAATTTGCGAAGGGGAAGAAATATATCTTTTCAATTACATTATTATCAATCAAACTCCATTGTTCATGTATCTTTTCAATTACATTATTATCAATCAAACTCGATTGTTCAAAAAAGAAAAGAAAAAAAGAAAAAAAAACTAATAACCCACCACGTGTTTGTTCATCAATGTACAAAATCATATTGTTTCTAGTCTCATTAAATGCATGAATCCATTAATAATTTATGAAATCTTTTATTCCTTACAAATTCATATATATATATATATATATATATTATATGGAAATTTAGTATCAAAATTTGTTTGCAAATCAATTTTTGTGTTTTAATAGTTAAAAAATGATGATTTTTAAAAAAGAAAAGGAGACGTATATTATTATTATTTCGAGAAATTTTATATTACTTGACAACTAACTAATAATCTTCATTTTAATTATATATACGAGAGAGACATAAAGAGAAAAAAATATATGAGAGAGATAATTAAAAAAATTAAATTTAAGTAAAAGTGTTTTTATTATTTTGGATGAGTGAGGACGTTATTTTTATTTTATTATTATTATTATTATTTTTTGTATTTGTGTCTTTCTTCTAAATGTATTTAATTATAAAATAAGTATCGGTATTCTGTTTTTTAAATATTTTAAAATTTCTCCTATCACTGCTATTATTATTGATACTATCTTTATATACCACATTTTTTATGGAAATTTTTTTTAAAGTATTCTCAAGATTAAAAGCATTGAATTGGTAGTTTTCAAGTCCAAAAATACCTTGGATTACGATATCAACCACGTACGCTAAACTACAAATTGATAGATTCCGGTGAGTGGTTAAACTACAACATCAAAACTATCAAAATCAGTCTTTCTGTCAATTTGAGACAGATGTGGAAGAGAAATAAAGACGCACGACATCAAAGATGGCAAGGATAATGAAATAATTCCTAATATTAACCCAGCAGAGATGCTTTCCATGCAAACCCTTACGCCTCCTCCTGTCAACATGCAATCTTTCTCACTTCTCTTGTCGTACGTGACCATTGTCATCTCCCTCCCAAGTAGAATAAAGAGCGAAATACATTTTCGTATTTGTATGCAATCCGATATCGTTTCTTTTGAATTATTTCGCTAAGATATCTATACTACAAAACAAATTATACACTATTTAAAATCGAGACAAATCTACTCTTTTATCTGTTTTCGTTAATTGCGTATCATTATATGATCGACAGATATTGAATAAAAAAATTGGTTTGAGATAATATAAGATAATATAAGGATATAATATGTATTTTATTCATATAATAAAACGATTAAAAACATAAATGAAAGAGAAAAAAGATCAAAATTTTAGCACTAGTTTTCTTTTTCTTTTCAGGAAATAAACCCATATCTATTAGGTTTAGAAACAAAAACGAAAGAAGATAAGAAGACAACACATTTCATTAAAAAGAAATTTCGACCACGATAAAAGAAAAAAGAAGAAGAAATTATCAATAAATACATTTTTATCATTTCATTTGATAATTTAAAAGCACAATAGATATACTAATTTTATTAAAAGATTATTACTGAAATCAATATTTAAAAACCTCAATCGTTAGATTTATAAAATGTATCATTAAGATTCACTCATTTAACAAGTAAGATTTTCTAAAAGAAGATTATTATGGAAAGATTATCAATATTTTCTTAAACTCTATAACATTCGAAGGATGCACTCATCAATTCTCACATCGGTAGACACTCTAACATGCTCATTTGTTCCACAACAATCTTAGAGCATGGCACGATCCACTTTTTATGTGTGTGTATGCTCGAGAATAAATTCATTTTTTAATGATGTGGGTTTCTTCAAACTAAATTCCACACTCCGAGAATAACTAAGATTCACTCATTTAATAACTAAGATTTTTCTGGAAGAAGATTATTATGAGAAGATTATCGATATTTTCAACAGATTTACTATTACATTACATAATTCCTTAAACTTCATAATATTGGGAGGATACACACATCAATCGTTACATCCTCAGACACTCTATCATGCTCGTATATTCCACAATAGTATTAGAGCATAACACAATCCACTTTTTATGTGTGTACACTCGAGAATAAATTCATTTTTTTTTTTTTGATTGATGTGGGTTTCTTCAAACTAAATTCCATACCCGAGAATAAATTCACTTCCTACATCCGATTGAAGATACATTAGCCACAAAAATTTAGAGTCCACAGCCATTTTAATATATCTAAAAATAATTAAATCATAAATTAGTTAATCTAGTTTTAAAAAATGAATTAATTAGTCTTTATTGTTTCAATATTGCTTCATTCTAAAAAAATATCTTATTTACTTATCAATCTTTCCATAATATCTATTTATTTATTCTTTCTTATATTTTTTGAAAAAAAAATTGGAAAAGAACACAAAATGAAAAAAAGGCCTAAATAATTAATTTTTAAACAAAAAGAGACTCGTCAATTCATTTCTCAAAACTAGAAGGTCTAATTTAGAACTTACTCATCTCTAGTGGACCTAAACGATTACATATAAATATCTAAAAATACATAAGTACATAAACGGGATAATTACAAATAAGTATATTAACTTTCAACTTTTCTCAGTCAAGTATATAATCTTTATTTTTTTCATTTGAGTATATCAATTTTTTCAAAACCGTCAATCAAGTACTTTTATTAATTTTTTCATTAACTCGGTGATGCGTCCGTTATCCTCAAAATACCAAATTATAATTTTATTTTTTTTTCTCGATGAAGTACACGAAATTTAATTTTTTCAGATTGAGTACATTAATTTTTTCAGTTTTTTCAAAACTGTCAATCAAATATTTTCGTCAATTTTTTCATTAATTGATGACATGCTAAAATACCAAATTACATTTTATTCATCTTTTGTTGTATATAATTTTTTTCTTAAATTATTATATCATTTTAAAATTTGATAAATAATTAAAAAAATTATTTTTAGTTATAAAATTTTGAACTAAACTTAGTAAGGTTTATTATTAAAAAAAAATCAATTAGGTTTTGAGCATAAAAATTGAAGAAAATACAAACGTGAAACTTTTCATCGAGAATATGTATTTGTGTTTTTTTTTTTAATTTTCACTTTTTAACCTAATGGACTTTTTTAACAACAACCTAATCGAGTTTAGTTTGAAATTTTAGAGATAAAAATTAATTTTTTAATTATTTTTCAAATTATAAAATAGTAAAATAATTTGAGAAGAAAGTTTCTTTCAACAAAAAAAGGTATAAATTATAATTTCATATTTGAATACGTAATCAATTAACGAAGAAAGTGATGAAAATATTTTATTGACAATTTTGAAAAAATTGATGTACTCAAACAGAAAAAAAATTCATATAATCGATTGAGAAAAATGATAAAATTATAATTTGATATATTGAAGGTACTAAATAACCTAATTGAGTTTAATTTGAAATTTTAGAGATAAAAAATAATAATTTTTTAAATTATAAAATAGTAAAATAATTTGAGAAAAAAGTTTCGTTCAACAAAAAAAAGAAGGTTAAATTATAATTTCATACTTAAATACGCTATCAATTAATGAAGAAAGTGATGAAAATATTTGATTGACAATTTTAAAAAAGTTGATATACTCAAACAGAAAAAAAAATTTATATATTCGATTGAGAAAAATCATAAAATTATAATTTGATATTTTGAGGATGCTAAACACGTCATTAGTTAACAAAAAAATTGATAGAAGTATTTAATTGATAATTTTAAAAAAATTAATATATTTAAACGAAAAATATTAAACTTTATATATTCGATTGAAAAAAAATTAAAATTGTTATACCTACAGTGTAATTATCCCTTACAAAAACACTTCCGATCATTAAATTATTATGGTTGGTACTCATGTTTGTAATAATATAACAAATAATCATTAATCTTAATTACCCAAGTAATCAAGCCACCCTATCTCCATGCAACCGAAAAACCTAACCCCAATTCACAATACACACACCCAAAAAAACCCTAATAAAACACCGATACAAAACACACATACCCTTTCTCTCCTCTCAAAATTCCTTATTTCCATGTAGGAAAAAAACATCCTTTGATTAATGCATGACCATAACAATAAAAAGGAAAGTGTAGATGCATGTCGGTGGAATAACAGTGGATCTGAATTGGTTACTACAATTTATATTCACTGTTTTTGTAATTGGTTTAGGGTTGTTACACCTCGTTAGGAATACGGCGTCGAAGTATTTCGAAGTCGACGCCAATTTCGAGGCAGCTGATAGTAACCACACTGTTATTGATCCAAGTATTGTTAATCAAGCTATGGAAGCTGAAGAGGATTCTTGTCTTTGTGCTAATTGTGGCAATCTTGGGAATAAAAAGTGTTCTCGTTGCAAATCTGTGAGATATTGGTGAGTACCCTTTGATTTTCTTTATGTTTTGGTGGTTTCTTTTGATGGGTTCTGGTCAGATTGCAAACTCTTTTGGGTTCTTTTGATTTTGGGAATTAATGGGTTTTTGTTTGGTAATTTTGTATGATTTTATTGGTTTTGGAGCTAAATTAGTGATTGGTAGGATGATTGATTCTGTGGCACAATTTGTTACCTTCCGTTTTTTTGTTGCTTAATTGAAGTTATCGTTCCTTTTTGGCGATTTTTTGAGGGTTCTTGTTTATTGGGTCTTGGTCAAAATGCAATCTTTTTTAGGTTCTTTTGATTCTGGGAACTAATGGGTTTTTGTTGCTTTTTTGGGTTTTGTAGCTAAATGAGTGACTCGTAGGGTAATAATAAAATGTTTTCTTGTTGCTTATTCGTAGTTATGGTTCTTTTTTGGTGGTTTTTGAGGGTTCTTGTTTTCTGGGTTTTGGTAAAAATGCAATCTTTTTTTGGTTTCATAGGTTAATTGTTTGCATTTTATTGTTTTGGTGGCCAAATCAGTGATTTGTAGGGTAATTAATGTTGGAATGATTGAGCTCTTATGGTGCTGAAGGTGGTTTTTTTTACAGCTGGCTGTTGGTTTTTTAGGTTAATTGTATATGGTTTTGTTGATTTTGTAGCTAAATTGGTAATTTGTAGGGTAATTAATTGTAGTAGAACGAACTGAATTTTTATTAATATTGGTTACTAAAGCTTATTGGTGGTGTGATTTTGGGGTTCGTAAAATTGCGATCTTCTTATGTTGAGTGAATTGGTTTACCTTAATAGGGTAATGAACTCCCGTGTGGTAGATGGTTTGGCATAATTATGCATGATTTAGCTTAATTAGTTAGTAGTGGAGTAATGAACTAGCTAGTGATGCCTTCTACTTAATAGGATTTTTCAGTCTGATTTTTAAGTGGTTTTTTCTCTTTGGTGCATTTAGTTAGTTTTTTTGGGTTTACTTATCCTTTTTATTAAGGTTTGAGTTTAATATGTTGGTTTGAGGTGCAGATCTCTATTTTGTTTTTCATAAATTATATGGTTGTTCTTGTTTTCTGTTCCCCAGCTCATATGGATGCCAAGAAGCACACTGGAAGGCAGACCATAAGTTAAAATGCAAGAAAAATTCATCTCAAACAGTGAAATCAAACTTTGGTTTTAAACCTTCAGGTGGTGGGAGTGGAAGTTTTCCTAGTGTTGCACTAGTTCCTGCCAGTGGAGGCTCCAACTCTAAGCCTATAAAGAAGCCAGGAAAGGTGTATTTTTAACCTTTTCTCATTTTGCTGTTTACTTGGATTATTTAGTGAATTCTTATTCTGCAAAGCGAAAATGTTAACATACACTTATATTTCAGGTTCTTTTCCCGTATGATGAGTTCATTAAACTTTACAACTCAGACAAGCCCAGATTCCCTCCCTGTGGGCTCTTAAATTGTGGAAACAGGTATTTGTTTGCAACCCTCACATGCCTTTATTTGTTCATTTGAGCATAAACTATGCATGGGCACAGACATAAACATTTGCTTGTTGTGCTATATTTTTCATTTGGGCCTATACTCTTTTTTATTCAATTCTCCTTTTTTTCTCTGCACAGTTGCTTTGCAAACGTGGTTCTGCAATGCCTCACATACACAAGGCCGCTTGTTGCCTACTTGTTGGAGAAAGGTCATCAAACAGAATGTAAGTTCAGATATTGGAATTATATATGGCCTTTTTGTTCTCCTTTTTGGGTGGGGTAGTTTGGACAATTTTTCCCCCTCACAACTTTTCACCTTTGCTTTTCAGGTAGACGTAATGATTGGTGTTTTCTTTGTATATTTCAATCCCATGTTATAAGAGCAAGCCAAAGCGCACATCCCTTTTCACCAATAAAGATTCTTTCTCGGTTACCTAATATTGGTGGTAATCTTGGCTATGGAAGACAGGAGGACGCTCACGAGTTCATGAGGTTCTTATCACTGTCCTTCATCTAGCATAGCCATGTTTTTTTTTTTTTTTTCTGAGATAAACATCCCTCACCAGAACAAAAGACACAGACACACACCAATTATAATAAAAGAGAAGAATAAATTGAAGAAAGTGATTTACTGGAGAAGAAATTGTGGTTGTCTTAGATGCCATAACCAGTTCAGTGTCATAAATTTTTTTTGTCTTTTTTGTAGGTTTGCTATTGATACTATGCAATCAGTATGCCTAGATGAATTTGGTGGAGAAAAAGCTGTTGAACCTGCCTCTCAAGAGACTACAATAATTCAACACATATTTGGGGGCCGCCTCCAATCTCAGGTCATGCATCCTGTTATACTGAAGCCGTTTGATTTTGTTCTTGTTTGTGAAAGCTTCTTTTACTCAGCATGCGTAACTGTATTGAATTCCATTTTGATGCCATTATCCAGAGCTTCCCATCCTTTTCTTTGTCATTAGTCATTACAAATAGGGGGAAAAAAAAAGAATTTGATGGACTCTTGTGCTGAGCTGCTTCCTAGAAGTCTGAAATCTGATGCTGAATGCCATGTCACAAAAATGTTCATTTTTTATCCCTATATTATACAGGAATTGCATGCAAGGAGAAAAGCTAGACTTCAATCTAGAACAGGCTAAGAAATGTTTGCCTGTCTTGTTTGCACCATTGCTTATGCTGAAATGAGGAAAATAAAAGTTTTTCAACTGATATTATGAACAGAGGAGAAATTCCATTTCTCTTGATTGTTTGCAAGGTCTTCAATGGAAAGCAGTTATAGGAATAAACCAACCATTGGGCTCCTTGATCCTTTTCTCTGTTTAAAATGTCTTTTAGAAAACTTTTGGCACTATCCTAGAAATGCAAATACTGCTTTGTTCTTGTCAGCAAGCTTTTCGGTTAGAATTGTCTAGCTTGAGTAGATTATTTAGCAATTGATAAATTTTTCCTTGTGGGTTTCACATATGTGCAATTATGTTTTTCATTTATATAAACTTTCTAAAATGATTAGAGGAACCCTATCACTATTTTGGGATGCTGTCCTGACATACTTCATCTTTTTTAGGTGATATGTACTAAATGCAATAAGATTTCAAATCAGTTTGAGAACATGATGGATTTAACTGTTGAGATTCATGGCGATGCTGCATCCTTGGAGGAATGCCTCGATCAATTCACAGACAAAGAGTGGCTTCACGGAGAAAATATGTATAAATGCGACGGGTATGGCTGCTTAATCCTGTGATTTCTGAATCCCAAAAGCTTAAATCATTTACTTTATTGTTTGCATTTTCTCAACACATTTGTTTCATTGTGCACTATATATATATATTTCTGACCTTTTCTTTTTAATCAATTGACTTGAAATTCTATCCTTTTGAATTCTTCCACCCCTTCTTTGACTGTATTGAGTAATTTTAAATTATGATGGACATTCGATGGAGGCAGCGGGATTTGAAATTGAATTTTTGGTATGGTTTAGAACTGAATGGAAAAAGCAGATACATGTTTCTTGCTCGAGCTAGTTTGGGATATTATTCTTGAGTTGGGTTTTTTTTTTCCCCTGGCTGGGGACTGGGGTTTGTTGGTTTCAGCAAATCTTTCTCCCCTTGCATTTTGAGCTAAGATAGGCAGCTGGATGATAGATTTTGAATTCAGACAAATAGTATACTGTTAACTTTCCAAATCTTCTTTCTCTAGTCTTTTTTTGGTGGGGCATTTGGAATATTCTCTTAAAGAGGAACAATGCATGCTTATTGGTTATGTAATCTTCATTTTTACTGTCATATTTAACACAGACATTATAATTGCCTCAGTGAATAATCAACATAATCTACTCACTGTGGCCAAAATATGGCTTCTGTAGATGTGTGGACTGAAAATGACTTCTATGGCCCTAGATCAGACAGAATGAAAGGATAATTTGGTCAGCCAACTCCAACTAGTTTGGCATGACGCATTGATGGTTTAATATTTGAACGTGAAATATACCTGGCCACGGAATTTTTCTTTTTCCTCGTACTAATTTGCCAATATAGCTGGGGCCCAGCAGAATTTAATAGAACAAGGATACCAATAAAACGGATCACAAGTCTGCATTTAATATTTTTTGATGTCTGCATCTGTTCTGATTTAAGGTACAATTTTATACTGTTTATAGGTGCAATGACTATGTCAAGGCATGGAAGCGACTTACCATTCAACGAGCTCCAAATGTTCTTACAATCGCTTTAAAGAGATTCCAGGTCTGATTTCTTTATATTCTTTTGATGTTTATACTGCTCCATTACCTTTCTGAATCTAAACTACCTTTTCTGTGAAAATTCAATGATTTTGTGATATTTTAGTCCTAGAGGTTTCTATAATTTCTGAAATCACGTGGACATAATTTTGTAGAGTGGGAGGTTTGGTAAACTTAACAAAAGGGTAACTTTTCCTGAGACGTTAGATCTGACCCCCTACATGAGTGATGAAGGAGATGGCACAGATGTGTACAAGCTTTATGCTGTCGTTGTCCATGTAGATATGCTAAATGCGTCATTTTTTGGTCATTACATCTGCTACACCAAGGATTTCCATGGAAACTGGCACAGAATTGATGACTGTAAGGTAGAAGCTCTCTCTCCCTCTCTCACTCTGCATCTGTGTGTGCTTTATGTACTTCTAAACAGATCTACCAACTAAAACTTGTGAGGATTGGTAGCCCAATCTTTTCTAAATCATAATTTGAAACTTTCTTGCTTGTTTATTTAAATCTAGTGTTAGAAATGATTTTCTGCTTTAGAAAAATGCTATGCTATAATCCTGTGTATCATCATTATTACATCAAATGAAGACAGCTCAGCTGTCACATGCAATCTACTTGAACTCTTTTTCCTCTAACTGTGGTTCTGGCCTTTCTCAGGTTTCTAGTGTTGATTTAGACGAGGTGCTTTCTCAGGGTGCATATATGCTTTTATACAGCAGGTATACAGATTAATGCCTGATAGTTGATACTGAATAACATCCAATCTCAATTTTTTTTATGACTTCTGCAGCATTTCCTTTGCTTATATACATAGTATTTTGCTTGCTATAACCCAGTTGCTGGCAAACTATATACCTGAACGATCATTGCCATGCATGCGTTTCAAAAGGATGGAAACTTGATGACATCTGAACTTGAGGAAAATAAAAGCATAAAATGGCAGATTTTCCTTGTTCAAAAGATTTATATAAGCAGGATATGTGTCGGAAGACTCATACAGCATAACGAAATATGTGATCTGAATTGGGGCATACAAGCATCTTCTGTTCAAATGCAGTACACTTTGTTTCAAATACTTTCTGGTTGTGTTCTAAACGTTGTATTTGCCTGACTTGGCAGGGTTTCTGTTCGACCATCATGTCTTAGAACCATTGAGCCTTCAAAGGAGCAACAATCAATCGTAAAAGTAGAACTAGACTCTTGCACAGTGAAACCAGCTGAACACCTTTCCCCAATGGAGGCAATGGATGCCACAAATTCTGGGTTCCTAGCACCTGAAAGTAAAATTTCTGAAGTTGGAAGTCAATGTCATGAGGATGCCGTGGTAAATTTTGGGTCAAGCACCACAGTTTCAAAGGGTGTTCCATCCCATGAAAATGAGTCACCTTCTAAAGCTGACATGGAAGACCCAGAAGATCCGGAGGTTAACCATAATTCTGAGTTATCTTCATCTACTATGGCGGAGGATCCTAGGGACATACCAGTTGTATTGAATTCTGGGACTGTCAATGAAGATCCGGAGGATATGGATGTAATTGATTTCGGCTCAAGTTCATCCATTCCAATTTCTGGCCTCGAGAAGGATTCTTCTGCTGCACTTGATTCAGAAGCTGTTGAGATACAGCACTCCTCGGACAATACAGATACAACTATGTCTGAATCAGATTCTGCCATTGCTAAGGATATCAAAGTAAATGGCAGTATCTATTCGTTCTCAAGGGGAGAGATCTCAACCAAACCTAATAGTTTGAAACGTCAACCGCCTTTCCATGATTCAGATGGCAAGGACGCAAATGGAGCTAAAAGAGCAGAAGTAGTAGATAGTTATTGATGACAATGAAGCATTATCGATCGCTAATTAATTGTTCATATTTTTTAAACGATCCCAATCATCTAAGGAAAATTTGAGTTGGGCATTTTTATCTGGGGTTTCATTATTTGCAGAAATCTCGGGTTCATTCAAATGACATGAATATGAGGATGTCATTACATCATGAGCAGGAATGTGTCGTTTATAGTCTATCATGTAAGTTGCTAAGAAAGTCTAGTACTAGAAAACCAAGTGATAGGTTGCTTAATTGATAACTGTAACACTGAAGAATTTACAGCAAAACATCCCACTCTAGGAATTAAATTTTCCTGGTTGTGTCAAGAACAAGTCTAAAAAGTGCCTTTCTGATTGGTTAATGACTTGCATGTATGATTGAACTGGAACCGCCAAGAATGGTGTTATGGATGATTTTATTCGGTTTTTCAGTTTTTAATAATTTAGGTTTCGGTTTTTGGTTAATAGAATTCATAAGAAACAAAAATGGAAATTGAATTGAATTACTATTCAGTTTTTCAGTTCAAAAGACGAAATTTCGGTTTTTGGTTTTGGTTTTTTTTTATATGAACAGATTTTTTATCTGAATTTTTTAATAAAAATTTAAAATAATGTAAATAGCTTAAAAACGTTATCAATTTGTCATATATTTATAATAATGTTAATGTATTAATTTTTTAGTTTATTAGCATTATTTTAAAACTTAAAAAAAAAAAAATTGGTTCTTAGTTTAAATCAAACTAAAAAGTTTAAAAACTGAACTGAATTGAAAAATCAAATTTAAATTAATATTCTGATTCAGTTCGGTTTGGTTTTTTGATTTAAATCAAATGATGCTCAATCCTAGAGTTATGCATGGCTATAGTCAACATGGCCCGAGGAGCTACGCCCAGACCAATTTTCAACCATTTTACCGCCAAAAATGTTGGAGCTTTGTGTTAGTTGTAATTGCGAGATTCTTACATCCTTTAAGGCTGTCTTCGACAAATAATGTTCAAATCTACTAATCTACTAGGTAAACTTTTCTGAATTGAAAGTTGAAATCAATTTCATTTCAATTAATTTTAAACAAATCTTTCACATTCATTGTAATTTTTCCTTGAAATATCTTTTTTTTCCTTATCTTTGTTTTAGAATTCCCAACCTTAAATAATATTGTTGGAAACGTTTTTTAAACTCATGAAATTAAAAAAAATAATAATAAAAAGATCACATTAAAAAAAATCTAAAAAGTATGAATTATCGAAAAAGAATGATTTTTTAGTAAATAATAAGGGATTATATTTAAAAAAAAATGAAAACTAAAAAAAAAAAAAAAAATAGAAGAGCCACGTTAAGAAAATATAAAAAAGTAAAAAGACATTTTATGAGATTAAAGCAATATGTTTATTCCTTGTTCATGAAAGGTTGTCAGAAAATAGTAATTATAATGATGTTTAAGTAGTGGTTATTTAGAGTGGGGACCAATGGCTATGTGATTAAGCAGTGGTTAACAATTTAGCCGCTTTTGTCATGAAGGTGATACAGCCAAAAGTTGAAAAACAGGAACCAGGAGCAAAGCAAAGCAAACCCATTTCTCATCCGATGGCGATTTCTCTCGTGATGTCGCCAGCTGTTTGTCTATATCCTTCCTTACCATATTATTTTGTCAACAAAATTCTTTCACATCTCTCTCTCTCTCTCTCTCTCTCTCTCTTCAGAACCCTCCATTTTGTTTTCTATTTTTTTACTGCCTTTCCACTCCAGCAAAACCACTCACAAAATCCTCCTTCACTTGATCCAAGAACCCGTAAAGAAAGATTTTTTTTTCTTTTTTGTATAATGTAAAAGGGGTTTGTTTCTACCAAGGTGATTGTTTTTTAATGGTCTCAGATTCAATTTATGTTTGCTTCTATAGTTTGATGTTTTTTATGTGATAATTTTGCAGGGTTTTGTTTTGTTTGTGGTTTTGGGAAATATTGGGATTTGTTTGATTCGATTGACAGTAATGGAAACTCGCAGTGAAGCAGAAGCAAGTCCTTATAAGAGGTAGCTATATTATGTCATTGAGTTCTTGATTTAAAACCCATTAATTATTGCATGTAATGCTTAATCGCATTTCATTACCTGATTGATCTGTTTGAAGGCATGTTAATGACTTTGATGATAATATGTGAATGAATGAATGTAGTTTGGTTGCTGCCGTGTCATATGGGATTGCTTCAATGGCTATGGTTTTTATCAATAAGGCCATTTTGATGCAATATGGTCACTCTATGACCCTTCTCACTTTGCAGGTATTGATTTTTTTGGAAAACAGAATAGATCCCTTGTTTGTTTATTTGTATTGTTATTTGGGAGAAAAAATAATTCAGTGCTAAAGTTGTATTGTCGATATTTGTGGTCCCCACATGATGATGAGTACTGAAGAATTTTAGGCATCTTGTTGTTCCGATGTGTGTGTTTTCGGTGATTATGATTACTGATAATGGATGTTGTGATTGTTTGATTTTTTTTGGTACTTGTTTGGATTAGCAACTGGCAACGGCATTGCTTATACATTTTGGTAGACAAATGGGGTATACAAGAGCGAAGGGAGTAGATATGCAAACAACTAAAAGACTTCTTCCGGTTTCGCTATTCTACAATGCTAATGTGGCTTTTGCTCTGGCTAGCTTGAAAGGAGTTAACATTCCTATGTATATTGCAATAAAGAGACTCACACCGCTTGCTGTACTTATAACTGGATTTTTTTCAGGAAAGGGAAAACCTACAACACAGGTTTGTGCTGCCACTTACTGACCTAGTTTTCACTTAAATAGCTACCGTGTTTATTTGTAATATATATAGAGATATACATGAGACTCTGTTTTGCTAGGTGTTTTGTTTGTGTGTTGTTGTTTTTTAATTTCTTCTTAGTCAAATGATTAAACTTAATGGTATTGACAAAATGATCCATATTTTACGTCGCTGATTCTTATTTTCAATCAGACTGTACTACCTGTCTTGATTCTTGAATTTTTGGGATTCCATAGATGAAGAAGAAGCTTGCTGTCCAATTAGCAGATATCTGTTGCTAACAGACCAATTTTATGTTATATACCTGCAAGCTTCTTCTTCATCTAATTAGCAGATATCTGTTGCTAACAGACCAATTTTATGTTATATACCCGCAATTTAGTTATCAACCCCTTGAATTCTTGATAAAGCATCTCTGTGACTAGTGATCTTGAATATAGGAAGTTCCTTCAAACTATGACACATTTACATCATGTTTCAGGTTACTCTTTCTGTGCTATTAATTGCTGCTGGAGTTATTATAGCAGCCCTTGGAGATTTTTCTTTTGACCTTTGGGGATACAGCATGGCCTTTACTTCTGTTTTCTTTCAGGTTTGCTATTAGTTCCTTAATTTCTCATAGATGTGAATAATGCAGCATGATGGTTCTTGCTCGTTATTAACTAAGAGTGGTTGTGTTCTGAAACTGCAGACAATGTACCTTGTGTTAGTTGAAAGATCTGGTGCAGAGGATGGCCTCTCTTCAGTTGAGATAATGTTCTATAACAGTTTTTTGTCTCTTCCATTCTTGATGTTTCTCATCATAGCTACAGGAGAATTTCCAAACTCTCTATCATTATTGTTTGCAAAGGTTAGAATCTTAACCCCTCTTATTTAGACTAAAATTATTGACTGTGCCAGGAACCGATGATTTGTGATGTTCTGAAGCCTGTTCACAGCATACTATTGTTTACAATGGAGCTTTGAATTAATAATTGATGCTCAAAACCTTTAATATGACTTCAAAGTTTTCTGTAAGAGTTTGAATTTTACTGTTAGGCAGTTGACACCATTGAAGTTGTCTAATTTATGTTGTATTGGAGCTTATTTATTACCTGGAAATCCAATTTAACATCTATCAGATTTTCATGTCAATTGTACAAGACCATTGGTCAAACAGGTTTCAGAGAGCTGTTATGTAAGTTTAAATTATTGTCCTTTTAGTTGGTATCCCAATTGAAAAGGATTCAATAGTTCCTGATCACCTTAGATTGGTGTGCTGTATTTCATATTTTGTCATTTGGGATTGTTGATTGATGCCTTCAGGGATATTCTGATTGCTGAAATCAGGACAGCGTAACACTTGGGCATTTCAGAATGATCTGGATAACATTTTGATAACTAAAAATTCATTTTCTTCTGAGGGCAGGGCAAGGGTATTGATTGTGTCTTGTAAAGCAAAGTTCGGTTCATGTAATTGACACTTTGAGACCTTGACCTTGCCTACTTGTGCCAAATTTAAGTGCCAAAGTTATTATTTGGCATATTGACATTTATATTCCCTTCATAGTTTAAGTCCTTCAAAAGTTATAGCAGGCTACCAGCCCTATGTTGTTGAATATCAAGCACTGTTCTATGGCTAATGCAGTTCCAGCAAAGAGATGCCTTGGGAAACTGCTCGGTTATTGCAACTTTGATGTCATCTGGTGCTTCTGGCCCTGTTCAATCTTTAGATTCTTATCATCATGCACTGTTCAATCATTAAATTCTTATCATTGCTTCAAGGTGCCGTTATATGGTGTATCCATAAAACTCTAGGTTTCCACATGCATTGCCTTGTTTCAAGTCTGAAATATTGTTTTGCCTCTTGATATGGTATGTGTCTTCATTAATCTTTCCAACCAGATCATGTAATTTGTTGCAAAACAAATTGTAAAACAATCAAAATGATTTCTATAAAGTGTAGTGACAGTTCAAAACTTCATTTTTCCTCTACAAAGTGCAGCATTTTGCTCTTATATGTAGCATATAGAACCAATTTCTTACTTGAAATCTGTTTTTTTATTGCAGAGTAATTCGTTATCATTTTTGGGGATCCTTATTATTTCATTAATAATGGGCATAGTTCTCAACTTCACCATGTTCTTATGTACCATAGTCAACTCGGCTCTTACAACAACTATCGTGGGAGTCCTCAAAGGTGTTGGGTCCACGGTATGTGCATATAACCCTTCTTGTCTATTATAGAGAATCTATAAGAAGAAAAGAAGAAACTTGGAACTTCAACATTTGACCCAAGTTATCGGTTTCTCAGTTGCCCTCTTCTTTCCCCAGCTTCTCAATAATTGAACTAGACCAGCACCATTAGTCATGTTTTAATAAAATGTTCAAGTGCATTAAGATTAATTTTTCTTTTCGTTTTCTTTGCTGCTCAGACCCTTGGTTTTGTCTTACTGGGTGGCGTGGAAGTGCATGCTTTGAACGTGACTGGATTGGTTATCAACACAGCTGGTGGGGTGTGGTACTCATATGCCAAATACCAGCAAAAGATGAGTAAACCTCCAAAGCTAATATTAGATGTAGAGGCACATCGCAAATAAATCTGCTTTTGAGGATTGCTACCGGTGATGGAATGCTGCATTGTTGCTTCAGGCGGCTCTTTTATCTGATTTCTTGCCAATTTTCCTGCACTGTATAATTCACAAAAAATCTCATTGTACGTAAACAACCAAAAGGGGTGAAAAAAATGAAGTATAGCAATTTTTTTTTCTTTTTTCTTAAGAACATTCAATTCTATAGCATATCCTTGCTTTGGACACTCTCGATTCCTGTCTGAGAAAATGTCAAAATCTAGATACTTATTGTTGTCTGCCGCTTTATATTGGATTCGTGCTTGAAATTGATATTTAAGACAGAAAGTTGTTCAAAGCATTTTAATCCTGTGAAATGAAAAGCTTCTCTTAGCTCATTTACTTTCTACTATGTGATGGGATTATGTTTGTGATTCTGAGTTGTGATGGTTCTTGTCGGAGTTGGCGAAAACGATTGGTCTATCCACTTCTGTTATTGTCTGTCTGGAGACAAAATTAGTTCTGATGATGTAAATCCTGGAGTTAAACAGAGCTTCCTGGAATCCTTAACACTCATCCCATACTAAGATCTATCACTTCACTGGAATGGTCTCCACTCTCAAGTCTTTCCCCCTTAGAATGGCACAATAAATGGGATGTTAGGCCGTGTTTGTTTTGGGTTCTCATTTTCTAATGTTTGTTTTACGTTTAGGAAAAAAAAGTCAATGGAATTTGATTTCTAATAAATAAAAATTAATAGATTATATGTTATTTTTGAGAAAGTGACTTCCGACTTAAAAAAAAATAAAACATTTTTCTGAAAAATTGTTTCTCCAGGATTGTTTTTCTTATTTAAAATTGTTTTCTATCGAAGAAACTGAGGCTAAGTAAACGATCATATGACAACAGAAAGCAAGAGAGTTCATCTGCCGTAACCGGCAAGATGAATCCACTCTCGTTCAAGGAAACATCTTCTCATTAATCCAATAAAGAGTAAATCACTAGTTTTCTCTAACACTCAATTGTCTCTTTCATGGATCATAAATTTTGAAGTCTCAAGTTGTTTTCATATTTTCCCTGACAGTTGAGTGGTACTAAGCTAATTAAAAGCATGCCGTTCACACCTACATTAATGGATTTGCCAGAAATTATTCCATTGACAAAAAGAGAGAATTGAAATGTGGACGAAAGTTGAAGAGAATAATTACTACAAACGAAATTTCAGATGAGAAATTGAGAAACCCTTTAAATCTCAGAGGAAAAAATAAAATAAAAATTTACCCTTTATTTATTTATTTATGACGATTGATTTGATATTGCTATCATCATCATCATCATCATCTGGTAAATAAAAGATATGGCAATGGAATGTGGGTGGGACATATAATCTTTCGAAGGACAAATGGGGTTTTGCCATAACTCTCCTGCCTAATGCTTGCATGCAGTTATGTTGAAAATGAAAGCTGGCCATAGCTTGGTGATAACCAGTCGTATAATTCATGGATGGTTAGAGAAGAAGTGGACCTTCTTTTGTTGGAGGTTACTGAAACATTGAATAGCTACGCGACATGATTTTCAAATTTGTACTTTGAAATGATCTCCTATTACTTCCCAAATCCATCTTTCTTTTTTGGTTAATTTGTAATGAATAATGACCATGAATTCCTCTTCTTCTTCTGGCTTAAAAAAATGGATCTCTTATGAAAATATTGTCTCATAACTTCACAAATACACCGTATCCAAACTATTGAAAAAATAATAACAATGAAACTATTATTCAATATGTTCTTATATCTCTAATTGAATCAATTTTATTTTTTAAATACACAATAAGTGTCTAGTCTATTATTCTAATAAAATTTATATACTAAATTATTGGAAATAATCACATAATTTACTCATGATTTCCATCTATTTGACTGACTTGCAAGGATATTTTAGAAATAAAAATCAATCATGTATAAATTAAGTGAATAATTATGATTCTTTGACCTAAAAATCTTGATAAAATAATATATTGGAAACTTACTATATATTCAAAAATAAAATCGATTCAATTAAAAATAAAAAACAAATTTAAAAATTACTTGATTATATAATACAATAGATTGAACTTTAAACCCAAACTAAAATTCAATTCATTATGCACTCTAAACCTAGAAAATTTGTAAAAAATTTAATTTTCACAATTTAACCTAAGAGACAATTAGGGAGCAAGACATATGAGGGCAGCTCCCTCATATCCCTCCTAGATAATGCCACTATTAAAATTTAAGCACATGGTATTGTTTTTTTTGTCTTTGATGGTACAAACTATTGAAAAAATGATAATAATGAAAACTATTATTCAATATGTTTTTATATCTCTAATTGAATTAATTTTATTTTTTAAATACATAGTAAGTGTATAGTCTATCTTTTTAGTAAAATTTTCAGAGCTAAGTTATTAAAATTATTCACATAATTTACACATGAAAGTCTTTTATTTGACTCGACTTGTAAATATATTTTAAGAATAAAAATTAATCATGTGCAAATTACTTGAATAATTCTGATTCTTTGATCTAAAAATCTTGATAAAATAATAGATTGAAAATTTAACGTGTATTCAAGAATAAAATCGACTCAATTAAAAATACAAAAACGAATTGAAAAGTTACATTATTATATAACACAATAGATTGAACTTTTAACCCAAACTAAAATTCAATTCATTATGTACTTTAAACCTAGAAAATTTGTAAAAAAAATTATCTTTCACAAATTAACCTAAATTTTTAACCTAAGAGACAATTAGGGAGCACCACATATGAAGGCAACACCCTTATATCACTCCTAGATCATGCTACTACTAAAATTAAAGCACATGGTATTGTTTTTTTGTCTTTGATGGTCCAAGTCTTGCATGTTGAGATGCATAATAGAAGATCTAAATGTTGCATTTAACAAAATCCCATTAGAAAAAAACAGTTGGCCATGAATGAATTGAATGAGAGATCTGAAGAAGATTGGTCCATAATCCACTTTTTCTATACAAATCTCGGCCGACAAAAAACAAGGCCTTATGGGGCAATTGTGGTGGGTAAGTAGGCAATTTTTGTGGGTTGTTGTCTCTTTATTTGTAGGGTTCTAATATCTCTCCTCCCAAAAATTATGGGCTCCAAAATTGTGTGCTTTAGGGATGGCTACTCATAGTAGCCAAAAAAAGAAAGGAAATTTACAACTATCTACTCGAAATAACACCTAGGGTTCATAAACCAAATGATTGAAATTAGATACCCTAATGCCACTTCTCTTCTACTTTTGCCCTTTGTCTACGACAATGGAGGTTGTCATTTAACATGTGTAATGAATGTGCAATAAAGCCATCTTATCCCCCTATAAAGTTCTTAAAGTAATTATGGGACTGGATAATATATATATATATATTAAAGAGATTGTTTATCGTTTTATGTCTCAAAATATTTGTCTGAATACTTTTCTGAAAACTTTTAATCAAAATTTATTTTGTAAAAATATTATTCAAAAACAATTATAAAAATAAGAAAAAAAATTTAATGTGACACAGATTAAAATTTTTTAAAGATGAAAATAATACTTTTTTTAGCTATTAGGATAATTCGGATAAATTCATTAGTGTTTGCATGGATAGTTTGTCTTAAACTCGAGTGGAAATGTAAATTTTGTTTTGGTGCACCAAGAAAATGAAGATACTGCCTGTAAAAAAGGTTGTTTTTGTGAATTTAGGGTAATGCTTGTATGATCAGGTTTCGTCAAAAGAGAAAATGATTGTGTCTAAAGTAATTCTCTAAAGGGTTAGATTAGTGGTCAAAATGGAAAAAGTTGCCATGACAAAAAAAAAAAAAAAAAAAAAGTTCCACTTTTTTGACGTGTGTAAAATAGCAAATAAGTTTTTTTTTTAAAAAAAAAATTGCAATTTCATTATACTAAATAAAATATAAATACATCACTATTTTTATATTACATCTAGAAAAATTATAATTTGTATGATCAGATTTTTTTTTTTTGAAATTATCAAATCTAGATTGATTGTATTTCATACGTTCAGATGAATTTAAATCATTGTAAATCGATGTAAAAATAGATCTTACTGCTAGATCACATTGATGGAAACCTAAAACTATTGAGTTATATCAATCTCTTACATCTAATTAGAAACAACAACTAGAACTTTCTTTTAAACGAGAAAAATCTAACGAGTGAAGAAAACAAATAATTACGATACAACTATATATAAATTCAAGATTTAGATTTATATACATAAACATGGTTAAAAAGAAATATTGTTAACATTTTATGTAGTTGAAAGCATATCTACGAAATAGATGTATTTATCATACGTACATAAGCCATGCATTTTTGTAATTAAAATATTTTTGATCAATTTTCTTACATTAATATCAAATTCTACATCAAATATATAACATTTATATTTAAATTGATGTATGGATGGAAAATATATTTCGACAAACCTTGTAGATGTCACATCTTATTGGTTGTATCCATTGCACGTGTTTTCTGCTCTGAAGGTACCTTCATGATGTTACCTCGTCATTAGATTTGCTTTGTATGATTAAGATTTTTGAGATCATGGATTACAGAAAAACTCAATAATTAATCACATGTTATTATTCCTTTTTATTAATTACACAATTAAACTCAATATTTTAATTTGTTTGCATGCATAATGCTGCATTTAACCTGAAATAATAATTAATTTATTATTTAAATTTTAATTAAATATGCAATACAAATGCAATTCTCGATATATACATATATATATATATATAGTTTTGTGAGGAGTTAAAAGATGGAGAATCTCGAACACAGCATTTCAGATATTGACAATGATAAAAAGTTAAAATTTTAAAAACTTAATATTAAATAATAATAATAATGGTATCACCCATTTTAAAAAAAATAGTAGTCATATTATGATGAGTAAAATATATATTAATCCCTTTCGTTTAGAGAAATAAATTAATTAGTCTTCTTCATTTAGCTTTTCATGTTTTAATTCCAGTCAATAACTTAGGTTTTTTTTACTATCAATTTTTTTAATTAAATTAGTGATTTTTATTCACAAATTACTTTCTTCTTTTTTTTGGTTGAGGGAAAAAAAGAGTGGGTGAAAAAGAAAAATATAGCATAAAAAACTACAATTTGAGAAAACAAAATTATTCATCTAACAAAAAAGTGATGAAACAACTAAATTATTATTGAAATTAAAATATAAAAGATTAAATAATTAATTTTAAAAACAAGAGACACTAATTAATTTGTTTCTCAAAACGAGTTAGCGATGGACTAATTTATACTCAATTAGTTTATAATTTATATTATGATCTATGCACATCTGATCTATTTATTCTGTGATCCAAATCTAACAGCTGCTAAACAGATCCTGTATTTGCTTCATTAATTTCCTTAGGCAGCGCTTGGCAACTTTGGCTATAGAAAAATTAAGAATTTTGCATGAAATTATACTATATAAATAAAAAATAATGCATAGGAAAACTCCCAGACGCTGATCATAAAGTATTAGGTCAGAAATAATTTTTTATACTATATATTTTTTTCTTTTTTTTTTCAATCATGAATTCTTAATATTTTTCCACTTTTTCATTTTTTATTCCAGTAATTAATATATTTATGGTTTATACAATATAGAAGGTTATAGCCGTGTGTGTGTGTCTGTGAGAGAGAGAGAGAGAGAGAGAGAGAGAGCATCCTCCTTACTTCTCCAGCTCACTGTGCTGATCTTGTTTGGACAACCTGATCCCACATGCTGGCTATGGACAGATCCAGAAATAATTGAGAAGTTCCAATCAAGCAAGATATGAAACAGAATACAAACCAAAATGTGATGGGTTGTAATTTGTTTTCTTTTTCTTCTTTTTTTTTTTAAAGTCCTAAATGACTTTTCTTTCTTTTGAGCATTCATATGGAGAGATTGTGAAGTCTTTAATTTCCATTTTGGAGGTTTAATTTAGTTGGAATGGTCAGCAAGTGATATAAAATTATTTGTAGAGTTTTATATAATAATTTAAACTTTTTTGTTAACATAGTATTAAATTTTTTATGATCAAATGGTTATGAATTCGATAATTAAGTTCGAATCTCACGCTCTGCACTTTCTCTTCTAATTAAATAATTAAGAACAAGACATTGATGAATTTGTACAAGTTTCAATCTAAAAAAAAATTTACTTGAAAACAGATATTAGAAAATAACATGAATTATTTTTAAAATTTCACCTAATAATTTAACAGACTTAAACTTTTGAATTGAAATGATTTTTTAACAAAAACTAATATGTAAAATATATAAAAATTTGTTATGAATACATTAATTGGATGTAAATAACGTGTTGAAATGGTCTTTTTTTTTTTTTTTTTCCTGAAACTAATATGCAAAACATTGAGAAAATTATTATAAATACATTATTAGTCGGATGTGTATAACGTGTTTAAAACTCGAATGGATCGAAACTTAGTTTCGGATATGTAAAATCTTGTAAAAAAAAAAATTAAGGAAAAGAGGTTACTAACTCTCAATTTGATCAAATTTCAATTGGGATTGTAAAAAGTACATCCGCTAATGTCCAATTGCTTAACAATGTGCAAAGAAAGTAATGCATAATGATGATGGCATTTTTCGTTCATGCACTAATGCTAAAGGCAAATAAATTTACAAAAAGAGAAGTACAAATGGCGTTTTGTATTTTGTTCTTTTATTGGCACAGAGGCCACAAACAAAAAAGGGCAGAACATATTGAAACTAAATAAGTTTCTTCAAAAAAAAAAAAAAAATTGCGAAAAGGGACAAAAAGAAGTGTCAAAATTAGCATAAATCCATAACCTTCTCAATAAGCAAAGTTGATATATAATTTGTTTTACACCTAAACACTCGTCCATTTGGCAAGTTTAGCATAAAGTATTTTAATTAATTAATTTTATAGAGCAGTTTGAAAATCTTATAAAATCTACTTGACCCTACAAATTTGATTAATTAGTCTAAATCTAAAAATAGGTTAATTCTTTTCCTAATCAAAATAACATTTTATTTATTTGTTTATGTATTTCAATATTTATCTACCGAGACCAAATAGGTTTTGAACCTATCGAGATCTCGTACAATTCGAATTTCTTTGATTGAGACTCTAAGTTTTTTTTTTAAATCTAATTTTAAGAGTTTTATTTATATGTTATTGTTATTTCAAATCTTAATGTGCCACGTAAGCACCCACAATAAGCTCTAGCCAACGACGACTTGTTACGTGATAACAACTTGTCACGTGTCATAATGAGTCCAAATTGAATAATTGAATTAGTGATGTGGCAAGTTGTCATTGGCTATAGTACATACGTGGTAAACTCGTCATTAATTAGGACATGAAACAATAATAACAATATAAGAGTTGAATTCTTCAATTTGACAAAAAAAAATTTAGAGTCTCAATAAAAATAATTCGAATTATATGAAGTCTCGGTATATATAAAACTAAATTAATTAGATGCTTTTCATATGATAAATCAAATTAAATTTAAAGGTTTTTATTTTTGGTTTAAACCACAAGCGTGCTCTTTGGAAGGTATCCTCAAGATCTTCCTAGCCAGTTCTCCAAGCTTCCAAGATGTCACCTCCTAATCACGTAAAAGGCAAATTCATCATTACATTTGCTAATCAAGGGAGTGATTTTGCACAAATTTATACTTACAGTAAAAAGTATTAAGCAATTAATGATTATTAATTAATAAAATAAATGCCAATCGTGGATCCCCAAGAAAGAAATTAAAAATTAATCTTCCAAGATTCCTCACATTGATTGCCTTCCTTTTCAATTTATCTTAGTGTTTCTGTTGTTAATAATATATTGGTAATTTCGTTTTTTGTTTTGTTTTTTTAATTTTTGTTGAGATTGGATAATCTAGTACTACTTGCACTTTATTGATTATTTAATCTCAACTTTGGACCCAAAAAACTATAAAAATAACCCACTTTAATTAGCATAATCATGTTTTAATACTATAATTTCATCTGCTTTATGTACTTTTAAATTCCCTAAAATCATAAGGATTCTCCAAAATAAACATGGACAAAAGGGATGGATGACCTCATTTCTTGGGGTTGGAAACTTGGAATTTAAAAAGGAATTGAAAAGGAAAAGACATTCCTACCCCTCATGAATACTCATGAATCAATTTTATAGGTTGTTGGTAAAGGGTGCTGTTGACATTTTGCAGGTGCCTCAATCCACTAGTGGCCTCTCTTTTGATTTTATTCACTTTAATTACTTGTATTTTTGGAAACAAAATATTTGGGGACCAAACAAAATTTAATAATAGAAGAGGAATATGCTTTCCTCTCGTCTTCCCCATAACCGACATTTTCTTTATCATTTTTCAATTATAATGATTAACTGCAGTTAATATATTGAGAGAATTGTGCTAATTTAAATGCCCTTTTTATTTTTTTATTTTCTTTATATATATATATATATATATATATATATATATATATATAAAATAAACTGGCCTATGTGGAAGTGTAAAAAATTTAGATCTAATCAAAAAGAAATTTAATTTGATGAACCAAAAACAATATATATATATTTTATGATTAAATTTAAAAACGAAAATCCATCTTTTTAACGGTCGTATTAGTCTTTTGAAATTACTAATTAATACATTAACTATTTTTTAACTAATTTTATAACCTCATTTTATTTATTTTTATTAATAATTTTATAACATGTAATTCAATTATTCAAATTAGTAATAATTAAAATTGATGTATAAAATGAAATTAAAATAAAGTAAGAAAGTAACTTCTTTTTGAAACAAATGTCTGTGAATAGTGAACATGCTTATTGCTTAATTAGTGTGGAAATTTCTATGTTGTTACCTAATAATTTAGTCAACACAACGTCACGAGGACCGGAGACCTTTCGCCAGATTTTTCACGTTGAGCACGGTTTACTCCTAGTCAACTGATGCTTACTTCTCAGTAGTCCATGCTGTTATGTCTTTAATTTAATGTTCTAATTATTTATGCAGATTACTATAAAGTTTTGAAAAATAATATATGGTAGTAAAATCTTTTGGACAGGTAAAGGTTAAGGTTTATTATGGGCTATGTTTTTGGAATATTAAACAAACTCACATGGTGTGAGGGTTCTTACAGCTGCAGAAACAGATACCTTTCCTCGTAATATTTCTTTGCCATGTTGGATCGCTTGTTAGTGTGTGTGTCTTTGAGTGAAGAGAGTACAAAGAACATCTCTTTTACTTCTCTTTTTTGCGTTTTCTTGTCACATTGTACTTAGCATGAGTGGCTAGCCTTAAAGTTGTGTTCTTTGATTGAAAGAGGGGAGGGATCTAGTTTTCTAAGTTTAATATGGTTGGTTCTAAAATGGGGGTCTCTTGTTTCTTGGTTTTGGGATCTGGGTTTTGAATTTTTGTCTGAAAGATTGGAGCTTTTGAGGATTTGGTTTCTTGGGGTTTGTTTTTTTTTTTTTTTTTGTTGTTGTCTGTGAGTTTGTGTGAAGACAGAGAAGAAAAATGGCCGCAAGATGGGATTTTTCCGATTTGTGGGGAAAAGATAGCAAGAGGGGAACACCTGTTGTGGTGAAAATGGAGAATCCTAACTATTCTGTTGTGGAAATCAACGGTCCAGATTCTGCATTCAGGCCAGTTGAGAAGAGTAGAGGGAAGAATGCTAAGCAAGTCACATGGGTTTTGCTCCTCAAGGCTCACAGAGCTGTTGGTTGTGTTGCTTGGTTAGCTACTGTCTTCTGGGCCTTGCTTGGGACTATAAAGAAGAGGTTGATCTTTAGACAAGGTGTTACTGTGGCTACTGAGAAGTTAGGCAAAGGGAAATTGGTGCTTAAAACCATTAGAGTGTTTTTAGTGACTGCTTTGGTAATTTTAGCTTTTGAAGTGGCTGCTTATTTCAAAGGTTGGCATTATTTTGAGAGTGCTAATTTGCACATCCCAAGGACCTTGGATTTGCAAGGCTTGCTTCACATGGTTTATGTTGCTTGGCTAACATTTAGGGCTGATTACATTGCGCCCCTAATTCAAGGTCTCTCTCAATTCTGTGTTGTTTTGTTCCTTATTCAATCTGTAGATCGTTTGATACTTTGTTTGGGTTGCTTTTGGATTAAATTCAAGAAGATTAAGCCAAGGATTGATGGGGATCCATTCAAGTCAGATGATGTTGAGGCACAAGGCTATGAGTATCCCATGGTTCTTGTACAAATCCCAATGTGTAATGAAAGAGAGGTAATGCACTGAAGTTTACCTCCTCTCTCCCTCTCCCTCTCTCTCTCTCTCTCCCTTTTTCTGCGTTCTTGTGCTTGCTTTTAGCTTGTGGCAAAATCTGTGACAAAGATTTAGTAGGCAGTTGTTTAATTTAAGCAGTTGAAATGACAGAGATAGCAAAATTTCTAGAGATTTGAAAATGATACTTGACAAGAAGAAGAATATATATTTGAACAATAAGATGTTCCAATAGCATATATTTTCTCATAGTCAACAAATAGATTCTTGATTTATTTGTGATTTGAAGAATTATATGACTAAGTTAGGTGCCATTAAATAATAATTTTTGGATTGTATTTAGCACTTATTCGGGAAAAAAAAAGCAGAAAATTTATGTCATGATGATTGAATCCGTTATTTTAAATCAATATTAAACTAGGAAGTCTCTATTTTAGATGACTATTAGTAGGGACATGGAATTAGCATACATTATAAATGGCAGCATTGTCAAGTTTTGTACAGAGTCCTTGATGTTGATATGCTTTCTGTGTGCAGGTATATGAGCAGTCTATCTCTGCAGTTTGCCAAATGGATTGGCCAAAGGATCGTATACTGATTCAAGTACTGGATGATTCTAATGATGAGAGCATCCAATGGTTAATCAAGGCAGAGGTTACTAAATGGAGCCAAAAGGGTGTCAACATAATCTATAGGCATCGTTTGATTAGGACTGGTTACAAAGCTGGAAATCTCAAGTCTGCAATGGGCTGTGATTATGTAAAGGATTATGAGTTTGTTGCAATTTTTGATGCTGATTTCCAGCCCAATCCAGACTTCCTTAAGCTGACAGTGCCTCATTTCAAGGTAGATAAAAACAAACAAATCTCATTTCAATTAACTATTTGCTGTCAAAGATGTTTTCGGGATTTAATCCGCATGTCTCTCTTACCTTGTGTTGCAGGGCAATCCTGAACTAGGGTTGGTTCAGGCCAGATGGGCATTTGTGAACAAGGACGAGAATTTATTGACTCGTCTCCAAAACATTAATTTGTGTTTTCACTTTGAGGTTGAACAGCAAGTTAATGGTGCATTCCTAAATTTCTTTGGTTTCAATGGAACTGCTGGTGTTTGGAGAATCAAAGCCCTTGAAGAGTCTGGAGGATGGCTTGAAAGGACAACTGTAGAGGACATGGACATAGCTGTCCGTGCACATCTCAATGGTTGGAAATTCATCTTCCTTAATGATGTGAAGGTACTCTTGCGCTCCATCAATCTAAATCCATCACTTCCATTGCATCAGTATATGTAGTTTGATAGTATCCAGATGAAAAACTAAGAGCTGTTTTCAGCATCATTCCATTTCATTTTGAAGCATTCTAAAATTATAGTACGCAACCTTGACAACAAGAAAACGGGTGCATACTTTCTTTTCTCAGAAATTTGGAACAAGCTTCTGGCAACATGACTTACATGTGTAACCTTCTAGGTCCTCTGTGAAGTTCCCGAGTCCTATGAGGCTTACAGGAAGCAGCAACATCGTTGGCATTCTGGTCCTATGCAACTTTTCCGCTTGTGTCTTCCAGCAATTATAACCTCTAAGGTGCCTTTGATACCCATTTGTGCTTCTTGTAATTTAACTTCCAGACTGATTTTCTTTACTAAGGGCTTTCCATGTTTTCAATCTTGCAGATGGCATTATGGAAGAAAGCAAACTTAATATTCCTGTTCTTTCTATTGAGAAAACTTATCCTTCCTTTCTATTCCTTCACACTGTTCTGCATAATTCTTCCTTTAACAATGTTTGTCCCTGAGGCTGAGCTTCCTATGTGGGTTATTTGCTATGTTCCTGTCTTGATGTCATTCCTCAACATTCTTCCTGCTCCAAAATCCTTCCCTTTCGTTGTTCCTTACCTGCTCTTTGAAAACACCATGTCAGTTACCAAATTCAATGCCATGGTATCTGGTTTATTCCAGCTGGGTAGCTCGTATGAGTGGGTTGTCACCAAGAAGGCTGGTAGGTCATCAGAATCTGACTTACTGGCTGCTGCTGAGAGGGACTCAAAGACAATGAACCAATCCCAGATATGCAGAGGAGCTTCTGAGACTGAGCTTGAGCTGTTGAACCAATTAAAGGAACAAAACGAAGCAGCTCCTAAACCTGTTAAGAAAGTGAACAAGATATACAGGAAAGAGCTTGCTCTAGCATTCCTCCTACTCACAGCTTCTGTCAGGAGCTTGTTATCAGCCCAGGGAGTCCACTTTTACTACCTTCTCTTCCAAGGTGTGACCTTCCTTCTTGTTGGTCTTGATCTGATTGGTGAGCAAATAAGCGAAGCGTGAACAAAAGCAAGGCTCGGGTTCAGGTATTCTGCCAACAGCCTATTTGGATCGACCGTGCAACTAAAAGAAGTTCAGTCCTTTTCTTTCCTTCGCAAATGATGGTGAAGGGTAGCCTTCAATTCAATAAAATGAAGTCATTGCCTGCATGTGATTTGAAAGCTCTATAGAATTTTCTCTGTTCAGAAATTACTCTCCACACTGTGGTCATATTTCCTCTTATTTTTATTCTTTTCACATAGGATATTCGTCATTGTTAGTTTCCCTCAGGCATTGAATTGCAGTTGGTTGTCGTAGGTAGGATCTTAGGTTTCAATTTTTATTTTTTTTCTTCACAGTTGACTTATATTCTTGTGTGAGTGTGATTTAGCAGCATTTAAGGTTCAAGCCATATTTGCTCTTGTAAAGTCCAAAAGTTGGAGTGAAGCCAAAGCATAAGCTTGCTTGATGCTTTCTGGTTTCCAGATTTTATCTTTGTAGTGTGTTACAAGTAAAAGAACTTCTATATGTACATTTTCACATCTTCTGTTTTATCTAATGTAACAAATAATCACTTTCTTCATGTTCTTTTTGTTTCCTGTGCTATTTGTTCCTCTCAAGGCACGTGCATGTGCACGTGTATGGTTGGATTTCGTATTTTAACAAAGGAAGGTCAAAAGAAAATGTCGGCAGGCAAAAATGACTAAACAAATCGAACTTCGCAGCAAGTTTGAGATGGCTAAAGTATTGAGGTTGTGGTTCCCATACGCATACAGATCACTCATCAAACTGTGTTTTGTCCGGAAGGTTGGGGGGCCAAGTGATCTTTCCTGGGCATGTACTGATTCTGGATTTTATATATGGTGCTGTTGGTGGGAAGTCTAGTTAGGACAAACTCACTACTTTCTCTCGTCCACCCCATGAAAATTTTTGTCATGAAAAGCCAATCAAGAAAAATATCTTGATTTGACTACCTAACCTACCTGGGCCATGGCATCTCACTTTCATTTTTGGGGATCACATCTGTAGCTGGCAATGAACTGGTTTACAAGTGGGCTTGGCTTTAGTAATACTTAGGCAGGTCAGGTTTTCTGCTTGTCCCAGACATGGATAAGTCCAAACAAATAGTTTTAAATTAGGAAGACAGTTGGAAAAATAGTAATGATTGCGGGTTGTAATTTATTGGGATGGTAAAATAATAATTGTGATCATTGAAATCGGAAATACATTAAACATGCAAATAACACCTTTTAGATAGAATGTAAAGCGTAAAGATTGAAATTTTGGTTTTTTTTTTCTTTTAATATAATGTCGTTATATAATGACAAATAATAATGTTATATAATGATAACAACAGTTTTAAATAACGGTCGTAATATATAGTTTTGAAGCATCCCGTTATCTTTATTGAAGTATTATAGTAAGTCACGATCTGCGATAATGATCGTGATTGTTTTTTCAACCGTTCGCTATTTAAATTTAACCGTAATGTTTTTATTTACGTGAAAGGACAACAAGCCTTTATAATTTCGAATAACGATAACGGGATACTCCGAAACTATTATACAAATGCCGTTACGTTATTTAACGATCGTTATTTGAACCTACAGTCCAATCTACTAAGTCATGCCTGTCAGCAGCAATTGAAAGATGCCAGGATTTCGAAACTGAGCTAACTAGTTAATGGATTTTTTCTGTTTTTGTAGTCTGAGAGTGCTTCTGCTTATGCACATATGTTGAAGGTTTTGTTTTAAACATGATAAATTTGAGTCCTGCAGTACTCTTAACCGAAGACTCTTAACTAGTCTCAACTGCAGCAAGGCCATTCATCCTCTTGAGACAAGATTATCTTGCTGAACTTTATCATGGAGCTCTCAATACCATATCAACAAGAAATTTCAAGGCAATAATGTGTTAAACTCACCTGATTGACTATAACAAAACTCTACTTTAATCAAGACATGCTACATTTATACTCCCTATAGACTATGGATATCATAGAAATTGCAAGCAACTTGCACCTTTTACATCCACTTGGCTTCCAAATAGCTAAAAGTTAATGGGGTCATCCCTGGTTACTTAAGCACGTGTTATCATGTGAAGCATATAAATTAATATCCTTTCAGGATTGGATTTTTTGCTTCCATAAGAGCTTTTCCTCATTGGTAGTTGGGTGTTGGATAAGAACCGGGGTTGAACTACTCATCATCTGGTTCTGTAGAGAAGTCTGGCTCTTCAGGTTTTCGGAACTTGAGCATTTCGACACCCTTCACTTTCTGAGCCCCTTTCCTCGTGCTTGCAGCAAATCTTGAAGCCAGTATTGTGACACCAAGGTGCTGTTTTGCTTGAGAAGTTGAAGATGCAAAACCAGGTTCATCCTCCTCTTGTGCTGTTTCATCATCAACTGTTTGCCCATCAACAGAACGTGCCAAGGATTCTGACATGCTCAGGCTCTTTGCAATCATCCTCTTCTTTTGTCGACGCCAAGCAGCTTGAATAAAGCAGGCAGCCCATGTTCTCCAATGGTAGGAGTAGAAGCGGAAGGTATGCTGTAGTTTCTTGCTATGGAGACGTCTGAACTGATTCGCAACGAACCTGAGGCCTTCTGCTCGCAATGCAAATGCTTCCACTTCTTCTAGTGCTCTCACTGTCCTTGTGGAAGAAGGCAAGTTGGGAGTACATTTTGGAAGCAATGCCCAAGCAAGCAGCTCCTCACCACAGAAGTCACCAGGTCTCAAAGTGATTGAATTGAAGAAACCTGTTCGCCCTCCATTCGTAGTTGAGCTCTCTAGCTTTCCCCTGATAATAAAAAGCATCTCTGTGACCGGATCACCTTCTCGAACTATATAAGTTCCTTGAGTGCTCAAGCAGGACACTAAGCGCTCACATATGGCATCAAGCAACTGATCATCCATCTGTGAGAAGAAAGGAACCTGCAAATAGGAAAAACCATTAGCTACAGCATGACAGGAGAAGATGGATTGTAAAATGCTTGATGGTAAGATAGTTTTAAATCATGGACGGTTGAAAAAACGGTTGCGGTAGTCATCGTGGATCATGGCTTGCTACAATACTAAAATAACGATAACGGCATGCTCCGAAACCTTTACATAACGGCTGTCATTTAAAGCTATTGGTAACACTAGGGAGGGACTTACTCGTCTAACAAGATCCAAGCATAGGTGGCGCTGGATGTCTCGACGAAGATCTGTAGGTAATGCACGCAAAATTGATTCTTCATCAACCCCTCTAGTTGCAAGCCACTTGTATTGAACAAATCGTCTGACACGTTCTTGCAGACCATGGGGGAGTTGACGATGTCTCATCCACTCCTCTGTGTCTCGTCGCTTGAGCCTCCACTCCTCAAGCCTCACAGTGATAGATTGCAAGTAGGTCTATGCAAGAGAGAGCATGTCAAAAAAGCTGACTTCAGACTATTAGGAATACGACAATAATGCAGAGATTATCATGGTCATCATTAAATATCATTTCAAAACAAATTTACCATGAAAACTGTAAGCAGAGGAAAATAGTCTCTTGAGAATGAGACGTTTCCAAGTTTTCGTCAAGAAAATAGACTTTGAACTTTTTGTAGCAGAGGAAGGTTTCAATCATAAACAAAGTACGCAAGAGAGGCCAAAAACAGCTAAAGGTTATATATCATGTATCCACATTACCTGCATATTTCCAATCAAATGGGAAAATAAAACCAGACCCAAGATGGCAATGAGTATGGCAAATGCAGTTTCTCCAATAAATGTGCTTGTAGACAAAGTCTGGCCATAGGAACTGAAAAATAGAACAAGCAGAAAAATATGTTAGAAGTTCCTATAAAAGCAATTTAAGTTATGAAAACAATAGATGAAATCTAAGTATCTGCAGATATTAATATCACAGTAACTGCATACAGAAGAAAGAAAATGCTCGATTTCGATATCATGCATCGATTCAAACAGCTGATGAAAATGATAAAATGCAATCAGATGATATCATTATCTTTGAATGAACATTTGTGGTGAATTTCATTGAAGTCATTACCTCAAGTTCTGCAAGCCCCACCACAGACAATAGAAGTACTTTGCAAGGAACTCAGAGGAAAGTACTTTCTGCTTCAATGCACTTGCAAATATGCCATGATCGAAGAAGGTAGTGTCGTCCGGATTACATTTTGCAAACAAAACAGTAGTGTTTTCCCATGCCTTGCGTTCAGGAAATTCCAAAGTTTCGCAGTCCAAGTAACGGGGATTGCACGGTATAGGGCTCAACTCACGTTTGCAAGCAGATTTCCAGCATGTTGCGTGGCGCTCGATCGACAACAAATACCAAGATGCCCCCAAGACCTGCAAGATCAGAGGCCTAATCAGTATAAAGCAGCACCAACCAACAACAGCAATAGCGTTTTGGGAGAGCAGCAAGTAGCCAGAAAAGGCACATATACTCCGATTTAAGGAGGCATTACATACATGACTAGCCAACATGTACAGCAGGAGATTATATGCAGCCCCGGCCCAGGCAGTCTTCGTGACTACTCCAGTGGCTTTGATGATCTCCGAACTTAATGGAAAAATCAGATATAATCTTGGAATATATTGGAGCAGAACAATCAGCACCAGGGCATTGTTGGTATGATCAGCATGAGAGCTTCTAATTGCTGGTACTATAAACCAAATCACAATCTGCCGGAAAGAGCAATTTGATGTCCTTTCTTATTTAGATTCGTAGGACAGACTTCAATAATTAAAAGATACTAAAAATCAAAGCAATAAAGAAATGTGTTTGCAAGTTATGGATGCTTAAAAGTAAAATCCAACACACTGCCATAAGTATTGCGGCCATAGCCAATCTGCATCTAAACCTTTTCCTTTACTTTATTCTTCTGATCTTTTTGGTTCTTGGGTGACAAAGTTAGGACTCAAACTCAAGACTTCATCTCCCTCTTTACAGAGGTGAATGCCAATAGGCTAAACGCCGATTTGAACTGTAGCTCAACCCCAAGAAGTGAAAGAAATGCCTGGAAAATTGAGGCAAAAGGGCAGCAGCAAATTGCTATAGAACTTCAACCTCGTCAACCAAATGAAAATTTCAAGTTCATTCTCATTTCTTACAAGTAACTGTGATTTCTAGGCAAAGGAATCTGGAAATTACAGGCCAAATTCCAATAAACAAAAGCAGAAAACAAAGTTCGGAATGTAAGTACCTGAGGAAGAGGTAATGCTGCAATAAGATCTATGAAGAAATCTGACGTTAAATATCTCCTTGCAATCAACTTAGAATCCATAACAAGTTCACCTCTCCCAAAAACTCTCGAACTAGGTGAGACAAAAGCTGTCCTAAACTTTATTACGATATGAAGTATGTAAAATACATCAGCAAATGTTCTAAAACATGTCACAGTAATTCCTAAATTCAAATCAGTGTCCATACAAGATGACTTTTCCTTGCTGGTTACTGATGGAAGGTAAAAAAACAACGGATCAACAAAGAGTGCTGTTAGGCACGAGAAGAGGAAAATCCTGTTCCATTTCAAGATCACATCGCTTCCTGGATCAAGAATTCTCTCTCTCCAATATGGCTGATGATTATTCTCTGGAAATACCTTAAACCTTCCAAATTTAGGAGCCTTTTTACTTGTGTTTCTGTCACTAATAATACCACCACCTTCAGTTTTGAACAATGGAGCTGATGTTTTAAGTACAGGCAATGTCTTGTCCAGGTTTTGACTATCATTAAACCTGCAAATTTTGAGAACACCCTTTAATCAAATTTTCAAAGAAACCAAATGGGAATCATAAAAGAGAGAATATTCCAAGTTAAGAGACTAACCTTACTAGCTTCTCTTTCCTGAACTCCATGGCTGTAACTCTGTAAGTAATCTTATAACATACTACTACTATACATCTAAGAAAGGCATACAATGGAGGATTCTGCTGTGCAAAAAATTCACTGAATTTTCCATTTCTGACTTGAAAGTAAGCCTTTCTTTCAAGAAATGGAGCTTCAACTCCAAGCTGAATAAAATGAAAAGAGATTTTGCAGAAAGAGGAAAAAGAGAGGCTTTAAGTGGGGAAAAGGCAACGTGAACATGGTTGACTTCCATTAAAAGCCGAACAGAAAACTAACAGTAAAAGGGAAAAGAAAAAACGAAAAAAACACAGCTCAGATATTCAGTTCTTTTCTTCTTTGTTTTTTAACCGTTACGTATTCTAGTACTTTTTTTTTCTCCCAGAATATAACAGATCTAAAAATTCAGACTGATTTCTTAATATTCAAATACATAAAATAAACATAATTATCTAAAAAAAATTTACTTACATAAAAATTCGAAATTGAGATTATTTATTTCAATTATTAGAATACTTTATATCTAAACCGACTCTTTTAAATATATAGTACAAGCTAGTTTTTATACAAAAGAAATGATACAGGGAATCAATGTTCAATATCTTTTTATATTTTAAAATAAATTGATTATATTTTTGTATTTTAAGTGATTTTTGAATTTATTTTTTAGATTAATTTTTTCGACTAAATCATCAGAAAAAATTATGTGACTAGCACATAACTAATTTTTTTTTCAAAAATACCCCTTTTTGAGACTTTTTTGAGAAAAATTTATCATGCGACCTTTTTGAGAAAAAATCGTTAAAATAATAAATTGAAAATTCATTTAAAATAGAAGAACATAATTAATTCGTTTTAAAATATAAAAATAGATTAGACCCCAATGTTATTATACAAATGGTAGACTAAACTATTACTCCCATCGAAACTAATCTTTTTCCATGGGATCTTAGACATTATAATTCGTAAAAAAAAAATCTTTCTTTCTCATGAATAATAAAGTAGAGAAATCCGAGAATTAAGCATCCAATTATTCAGTTACTTTTACATATGTTTTATAATACTACTAACTTGTAAGAAAGTGGACCTGAATTTTAGAGAGAGAGGACGTGAAGAGCATGACCAAAAATATAAAATTGAACAAACGGTATGTGACATCAAGACACCAAGAATTTCTATTAGCAGATTTCTCTGGAAAATATCTTCTATTTTGTTTTTTTATTTTTGTATTTTTGTTAAGGTTTAGGAGTTTTTTTTTATCAAAGGTATGATTTTTGTTTCTGGGTTTTTTTTTTTTTCTTTCGGTAAAAGGATGTATTAGTCCATTACATCAATCATCATCATCATGGGCACCTCCTGCAAACGTGTGGAGCCATTGTCTCCTGACAAACCATAGCTTAATTCCTGTGTCGGCAACTCTTTTGACATTTTTCTTCTTTGGTCCTGACCGAGTAGTCAAAGAGGTTTGCTTTTCTTCATTCTGTGAGGTGGAAGTTTTAGATCAACATCCAAAATAGTTTATTATTTTGAATGTATCAAATCGATATAGAAAAGGTGTTTCTAAGATTGTCTCATAAAGTGGTTTAGTCTTGATTAATATTCAAATCAATCTAAATATATCTGTTATCAAAAAATAAAAATGAAAGAAAATAAATTAGATTTCTTCTAAATGCTAACCCTCTTCAACTTTTGATGAATAAATTATAAATTAATCTTTCTCATTTTGAAAAATAAATTAATTAATTTGTCTCTTTTATTTTAAAAACTAATTATTTAGATTTTTACGTTTTAATTTTGTCATTTCATCGGTTTCATGTTATATCACTTATATAACTGAAAACCGATTAAAAAAAAACATAAATTATTGATAATATTAAAACGTAAAAGACTAAAAAATTAGTTTTTTTAAAAAAACTAATTAGTTCTTTTTTCTAAACAAGATGGACTAATTTATAATTTACTCACTATTTATTCCTTTTCAAAACAAAAAAAAGATTTTTTTTTCCTTCAACTTTGTTTCTTTGTTGAAGTCCAAGAATCATTTACCTTTTCTTTCTTTTTGAAAAAATGATGAGTCCCTTTTTAATTAAGGATCAAAGACTAGGAATTTATATCACTATTATACTTATATTTTATTTTACATGAGTGTCAAACAACCCAACACACGATGATAAACTTACTTAGTGCCTTATTGGATCCTTGATTTTATTTCTTATGTCTAATAATTGTGTAAGATTTGCAATTCCGAGTGGCATCAATTTTTTCCACACAAAAGAAAAGAAAAGACACCACCTACCACTTTAATATGTGATAATGGACGACCAACATCTCTATTATACCGAAAGAAAAAAAATTACTACAGAAATTTTTTTTTTTTAATTCAAAATGACATTGATTATTATTTCAAAACTTCTTAAGAACACAAGATAATAATTTTTTGTTATTATTTGATGTAAATATTTTTATTAAGTAAGTGTTTAAAATAGAGTGTTAGAAAGAGTGTTGACGTAAAAAAAAAGGTTTAATAACAGGTAGAAATCACTAGAAATCGAGCCCAAAAAGATCTTAATTTTTGTCAAGTAGCATAGTATGGACTTGTTTTGCTTGATCATCCTTAAAAAATATTGCCGACCTTGTAATCTGAAAATTAATGTAGCGTGTAGTAACTAAGATCAAGAATTCACTGTCAAATTGGCATCGTAAAACTGAAGATGTCAAAGGCTAGAGGCTAGAGGCCGGCTATCATTTTTAAGGTTAAATTAAACATTCGACATCTAACAGAATCGACAAGGGACTAAGACACAATAGACTATAATTTGATCAAATCGACAAGGGACTAAGACACAATAGACTATAATTTGATCAAAGTGAAGCACTTCGTACTAAAATCGAACCAATTTAACCCACAATAACGGTTCATTGATATAGAGATTGGATAAAAACGTGTGAGACTATAGTTCAAGTCTCGCCTTCTATGCTAAGCAAGAATTTGTCTTTTTCCATTTCTATAGGTCACCACACGAGTTTCGTTTCCATCATTATGATTGTTCAGTGTTTGTTTGATTGATATCTGAAAGATATCGACGATAGGATATTTTAGAATCAATTTTTATATGAGATTTATGCATATTCTCATTCTGTATAATTCAATTTTTTTTATTAATATTCTAATTTTTTTACTCAATTTAAAAATTTTATTTTTACGTTGTGATTATTCAGATCTTAATATGGTATAGAAGTATATGTGGTAAACTTTAACCAATAACAATTTATCACGTGTTATAATGGATTGAAAATAAGTGAATGAATTAATGACATGACAAACCGTCACTTGCTGAGCTTAACTTACTTGCCACGTAAGCATACATGACAAATTATTATTGACTAGGGTTTGAAATAATAAAAAAATAAGAGTAGAATCTTTAAATTGAATAGAAAAAAAAACTTAATATTTCAATAAAAAAAATTCGAATTGTACAAGTTATCGATATGTGCAAAACTTTTTTTTGTATTAAGCAAGATTGAGTCTATAATTTTTTAGATTAAGCTAATATAAAAACTCGTTTAACTTTTGATCGATTACTAGTTTTTCTTTAGTAAAACCAATCTAAAATGGATACCAATAAAAGATAATTATTACTAATTATTTATAAATAATGAAAATTAAATCTTGTTTTTACGCGAACCAAAACAATGTTTCTTATATCACTAGATCAAATCACTTGGTCGTAAGCAGAACCATCTCTTGATCTTGGTAGTCGTGACTTATTGTCTGAACTCTTTGGTATACCAAATTTTCTAGGAGGATTGAGGCAATAAGACTCTTAAGACTTCTGATATTTTTAAATAGAAGGACTGAAACCATGAGGGCAAAGGACAGTAGGAGTGGATAGATACTAAGTCGAGAGGCACGACATTGATGAATTGGGACTAACAAGTAGAGCACGTGTGACCAATCAGAGGTCAAAAGAGTGCCAAGTTTATAAACTGTGGGTCCTATATTAGCAGTTTCTGCGGTGACTGGAACGTGCTTCCTTCTCGTTTTGTTGAGTTCCTAGAACGTGGGTTACTTAAAAATCTAGACACCCAAGTCAAGTCTCGTCATCCCAAAAACATGAAAAACAGTTCAGCCTTAAATTCAATTTGCTTGAATGTATTTTCGGATTCGATTTCCACCGCCTATATCCCCGAGGCTTGAATGCATGTTCGGTTCGAATTCTATGAAAACCAGTTCAGCCTTAAATTCAATTTCCAATCCTGTATGCCCTTCTGGCTTGAATGTGTTCACGGATTCCTGGATGCCCTCTTGGCTTGAATGCATGTTCAGTTCGAATTCTACGAGAAGTTAGAAGTAATGCGTCGAAGTTGCAATAAAAAAGTAAAACTTTCGTGAATATCTTAACGAAAATTTACGGATTCGGCCTTCTCGTTTGCTATTTGTTATAGCTGGGGTTTGGTTTGACCCATTGCTTTACGAAGCAAGCTATGTAGTGACGATGCATCACCATGAGTAGGAGTTTACTTTGAAGTTGACTCTTACCATTTCACTAGCCTTCATGGATTCTGACGAGGAACCAAGAGTCATATCACTAGCTGGAAATTTTAGCTGCCATGATTGAAATTGACTCAAAAGTGCATCTATTCACAGCACGAATAAGATCAATCTCTATCAAAAATGGCTACAGAAGTTGACACTACCAACAGTTTGGTTGGTCATTATACAATTCGTCATCCATACACAAGGCAATGGTCGTGTTAAATTAGGGACTACAACGCCTACTTCCTCCATCTTGGCTTGAATGGAACCACTTGAACATAAAAAACAGGCATGGAAGGATTGTTCATTTAGTTTCACAATACAAAGAACCCTAAAAGGTATACTTGACATCAATCAACTTACGTTATGGAGTGCATACAGATGGTTACTTGCTCTCGTAGTCACATACAGACCGTGTAGCAGTAGAATTACAAGGATTTTGCACAAACTACATGATAATAAAAAATCAACATTCATTCGAAAAAGATAGTTCAGACAGAACATCCTCGAAAGATACTCACCAGACAAGAAGAAAAAATAAATTCCCACCATACAACTTGTAAGAAAATGAATAAAGCATTTGTACCAAGAAACTCCTTTACGGCAGGAATCTGGAGGTACTTATAGGCTTCAACCAAAGTTGCCTGTCTAGTAAGATTTCGAACAAGCTTAAAGCAAATTACGTTCGTAGGTGTGGAAAGTGGAAACATGAACTACTCAAGGACCTCGTGCATAGTCATGATGAGTGTCTAAAATCTTCCTATGCAACAACAGCAGATGGACAATCCTCTAGGGCATCAAAATTATTGGGAAATCCTCCTCCAGCTGTCTTGGTTCAAAATGAAAGCTCGAGATAAATCATCCAAACAGAATCAAGCCAGCAACATCCACAATAGTCAAGTTACTTCACTGGAGCTTGTTGGAAAGAAGGTTAATGCCTTAATGGCCATCAGGCAAAGTTCACAGCTAAGGGCTTGTTTTAGAAGACATCTTGAAGATACTAGCTGTTCCAGCAGTTCAAAAAATACATCCACTTTGTCTCGGCTAGTGAAGACCAGACCACGTGATTAACACAGACAATAACCCATACCTTAGGTGTTAGAAAAAAATATTGAGAAGAGATAAAACAAGAAAGAATAGACCCAACGCAAAAAAGGGGGAAACAGAAACTTTTTATAACGTTCAAGAAATTTTGGAACTTTAGCAACAGCAAACAGTCCAGGAGAAAACCAAAAACCCTTTAGTTTCTGCCCCATTGAATGCTGATAACATGAAAGAATAAAAAACAAACGATGGCAAAAGATTAAAATTTTTACCTGCACCAGAAACAATCGGATTATCCAATTCAATTTTTCTCTGGTTTATTTCAATGGTTAAAAGTAAAAAAAAAAAAAAAAGGCAAACCATTTTACGCATCAACTGAAAAACATAAAAAGAAAACCCCTTGTGTGACAATGAGCACCCCAAAACGCAACAGATTTTGATTTTTTTTTTTTTAAATAGAGCAACCACATTAAAGACTCCTGAAAAAACCTCAACTTCTCTGGAACAGATATAAGTACCTGCCAGAAGTGTTTGAAGCAGCTCTCTATCCTTCTAAGTTAACTAAATGAGATGCCATTACAGTTTGAGGGAGAAGCATCACAGCTGGAGTGCAATCAAACAGAAGCACGTAGACATTCAGGTTAGCAGGGAGCCCAAACATTCAATATTGAAGATTTGAAGCAGCTCTCTATCCTTCTAAGTTAACTAAAAGAAATGCCACTAGAGTTTGTGGGAGGAGCATCACAGCCGAAGTGCAATCAAACAGAAGAATGCAGACATGCAGTTTAGCAGGGACCGCGAAACATTCAAAATTGAAGACCCCAATGCAGGGCGGCCAAGAATGAAACCTCAAGTGTAGAGAAGCACAAAACCAATGAAGCAGACCCAGAAGAAACCTCAACACAAAAAGAAAAGCATAAAGTTTTAGCACCACTCTCAGAAGCAATCTGTCTCAATAAAATTCATAATAACTACCTACAGAGCCCTTCTGATTGAAAAGCCTACAACTATCCTGCATAGCTTAAAGAAAAATAACAAACATAGTAATAAGTATGAAGAAAACTTAACCAAATCCAAGGGGCTGAGGGCGTTGCCCGATTAAAACATAGTCGTACTGAAGTCCAAACATAATAAACACACTTAATTTCAGTATTCTCCAAGCAAAGCCAAGTCGGCTAGGCCGCAACTCTTAACTCCTACTTCGGCGACGATCCCTTAGACCGTTTCTGCACACAACACAGACACACCAACCATTAGTTAATCAATGGAAATAAGCAAAACAGTTGAGGCCAAGATTCTAACAATGACAGTTGGAAATAATAACAAGTTCCATTAAAAATTCACCCGTTGGCATATGGAAGCTCTTCACGTCCACGATATGGAGGTGACCTGCTATAGCTGCGACCACGAGGTGACAGACTGCGACGCTTGGGGGATCGTCCTCGAGGGCTGTAGCTCCTGCTCCAAAGTGATGTGTGCCAAAGAAATCAAAAAGGTGAAAAAACACCAAATATAGGTCCTCTTTATGAAAAGAAAGAAACTTTACACACACACATATCATAGATGCATATATATAACAAAGGGACTATCAGTTTCAAGATTTCACCTTCGTCCATAACTTGGGCTCCTGCGATATCTAGGGCTACGGCTACGACGTCTTCCTCCCCCTCCACCTCCAACACGCAAGCGGCACTCGCGAGCAAAATGACCAGGCTCCCCACACTCATAGCACTTCAAGTCTGAACCACCAGAACGACCACGACCCCCTCCACGGCCACCGCCACCACCCCCACCTCCCCCACCTCTGGAGTTGTGAGAAAGCTCAACTCTCCAGCCATTTTTCCCTGCTTCAGAAATAATTGTTTAACAAATAAAAATTAATCTGCGGCATAATAAATCAAATTACTTGTAAAATACACACCATTTGTCCAGCAACTAGTTAGCTTTTTCAGTACATAAAGATAAGACATAACCCTGTTAATTATTACTAGCAATAATTATCTAAAAAAAAACTTGTCTTTGAACTAGTATAAGATCATTAAATTAGCTAAATAGTGTCAGGGGGTTGGAAGGAAGAATTTTGAAAATTTTATCTAAATTGGCCAAATGTTTTAGATTCATCATGTTTAAAAATGTTAATGCAAGGCTTTCGACACAAACTGAGCTAAGTTTATACAGTCCTATCTTCTTGCAAATTTCTCACAAAAAGATCAGATAGTGCAACTAATGATCACAACATTATAGCTGGTCTAACGCTCCACATTCTTTGATATGAGGCATGGGATTATTACATCTATCTATCTATCTAGGGAGAAAGAGACGAGATGAATAAAATTTCTACACAATGTAGGCGTGGATCTTCAACCTAATCAGAAAAAAAGGACAAGTAGTTTTCTTACATCAGCCTCTACCATGTCATAAAGTTAAACAACCAAAGATTATAAAAAACATAAAGTACAATCAGAAAACTAATCTAGACTAAACAAAAGAACATACCATCCAATTCATGAATAGCATCCTGAGCATCCCTCTTATCATCAAAATCAATAAAAGCATAACCTGGTGGCCTCCTCGCAACCCACACACTACACATAACCCATTAACCAAATCATCATCAACAACAACAACCCATTTTCAAAATTCCATAAAAATAAAAATAAAAGACCAAGAGTTCAACCTTCTTATAACACCGAATCGGCGAAACTCATCTTCGAGATCACGTTCAGATACTCTTGGATCCAAGTTACCGACATAAACCCGAGACATCGTTTCTTTTACTAGTTATATCTGTCAAAATAAACAAAAAATCCAGATAAAAAAACACAATCTTTCTCCCCTTTAAGCCTCAAACAGCAGAAAATATACACTTTCCAAAAAAAAAAAGAAAAAACACATGCCAAATTCTTGAAAAACAGACAGCAAAAAGACCTGGTCAGTAAAAACTAAAGGTTTTTCATTAAAAAATAGATAAACATGAGAAAGAGAGACAGATCCGTGACAATACCAGGAGGCCTTTGTAGAGAGAAACCCTAGTCGCTCTTTTTCTCCTGTGCGTTATTGGCCTACTTTAGGGCTGTAAGAGATATTTTTATAGCGAGTGGCAAACGAGTGAGTCCTTCATGTCTTAGGAGTCATACATATCAGTATTGGATGTTAGCAATTTTATATTTGAGGATGGGTTTGCACATTGGGCCCGAATAGAAAAAAAGCATGGGCTAGGTTTCTCAAAAGCTGCAGGCTTTCTGGTGGGCTTGGATTTGATCTACAAAAATGGGAATTGTAAAGCCCATTGATGACGGAGCTCATGAGGACCCATCTGCTAAAATAGGTCATCTATACAGTATTTTCTACTCCAAATCCGAAATGACCTAAACCGAAAAGGAATCAAGTTAATTATTTTCTTGACCACTATTGATATAATTAATTTAATATTAATTTTAAAAAAAATGCCTTATTTTCTTGTTATTTTTTCTTATTTTTTAAAATTTCTTTTAAAAAAAAATTAAAAAATAACGAAAGGAAATTAATAAATCAAATTGATACATTTTGTAAACTAGATGAATTAATTTATAATTTACTAATCCTTTTTGCTTTTTCAAAACGTCTTTCCAGACAAACTCCTTCGAAAACATATGGCTGCTTTCAAAATAATCCAACTAGAGAGGTTTAATTGAGGGGCAAAAAAAAAAAATCTTTAAACGAGGAAAAGGATATCATGTCAACTCTTCCTTCTAATTTCTGCATTGGGACGCTCATCAATAATTCCTAGCAACAAAGTCTGCCTGACTACTTAATAGGGTTAATTTAAGAGCAGGGATGGCAATGGGGCAAGACGGGAACTAGGATCGTTATCCTTGTTCCTGCCTCGTGTCTCAAATGGGATAAAAACTTTTCATATTATTTCCGCTTCAAACGTGGATAGAGATTCATGCAAAGCAAACGGAATATAAACGGGACAAAAAAAATATTTTTCATCTCATTTTATCTAATTGTATTATTAAATTTTAAATTATAACAAAAAGAATGATAATTTATATAAAAAATAAACTTTAAAAGTAATTAATTATAGATTTTATATGAGATATAATTATAATTTTAATAGAAAAAAAGAAATGGGACAAACGGGGCAGGGTAGGCAAATCCCATACCCGCCCCGTCCCCGCTCGCGGGGCGCCTTGCCCGTCCTATTCCCCGATCAATGCGGAGGATCCTCGCGTTGATAGGAAAAAATTAACGTTGGGCGGGACGAGGCTCCTTTGGGGTGGGACAAATTACAATCCTTATTTAAGAAGAATGAAATCTAATAGTTTGAGTGAAATGAATTTTAATAATTTAAGTAAATGATCTTATGTAAAAAATTCATTAAATAGTTATATTCGTTTTGCATGTACGACCAAATAGAAAATGATTAGTCTAGATTTTGAGCCTCAAAACATCTTGGAAATCTGAGAAAAAACCCAAAAAAAAATCTTTTTTTGTTTTTAAATGAAAGAATTGAATATGCTTCAATTATGCCGGACTTGACTATATATCCTTCAATTATGCATTTTATCTGCTAGTGCCAGGAAAGTAATGGGTTATGTAGAAGGGTGCCAATCTACCCGTGCTCTTTATTAGCCCATACTTGTCCCTGGCTAGCTAGACATGATCCTAATCAATTCATGGCAGACTTTTTTTAGAACGGTCAAAGAAGTTTGATTCTTTTATTAATTTTATGAATTTAAGCCTTATTAAAATTAACATTTAAAGAAATTTGTTTTTAAAAATTTAATTTACCAAAAAAAACCATATTTTTAATATTTATCGAATAAATTTTTTTCTATTTGGATTACCATACAAACTAATTCGATAATATACAAATATGTGGGAAAAAAAAATGATTATCACTTTGGACAACTTGGGTTGTGTGTCTCTCGAGGCAAGATGTCCATGAAATTGGATTGCCAAGTTGTTGGAAAATCCAAGCATCATTAATAATTTGTGGATCCCTCGACTGCAAGTACTCTTTTTATTTGGGGATGAATAATTGCTACCTGATGCTTTTGAGTTCATATAACAACAACCAATTATTAAGATTCTAAAAGTATTGTATTTACATTAATTGTCAGATAAACTTTTTTTAATTGTAAAACTACATTAATCATTTAAAAGTTTGGAAATATTATAAAAATTCTCTCAAATTTAAGTGAATATTACAAAATTTCTGTTTTATATCTAAAATATCCTTTATATTTTTAACTCGTTTCCCTTAACGGCAAGAGTGTTTTTGGCATAATTTTTTTTTGTCATGTTCTTAAATTTTTTACCTTAAAAGAATTATTGTAATTTACCTTTAATTTAAGATACTATAATTATTGTAATATTGTTTTAAGTTTATAAGTGGACGAGATAAATTTTTTATAGTTAATTTAAGCTACTATTGCATATAGATTAGTTAGCAAATAGACCATTTATCCAAAAATTTGCTCATTCCCTTGATTTATTTAGTTTGAATTTTAAAATCAATATTTAAAAGAACTTATTTCTCCAAATGCACGAATTTAATATTGATTAATATATAAATTGATTCGAAGATACTCATTACTGTTAAAAAAAAAAAAAGTAAACATGGATCTACTCTTTCTTATATAGTCCATACCTAATCACTTAAAATGGTTAGTTATAATGTGAAAAAAAAATGCTCTTTTCTTTTATAAAGCAAAAAAATATTTTTAAAGTTGTAATTTCACTTGAGATTATTTGCATTTTCCATAGTTATGAAACAATTAATTATTAAGAGAAAAAATTTGAAGTCCATGTTTTTATTTTAGCCTATGCTTTTCTTGTTATTATAGATTGTGTATTATATCGTATGAGATCTTGAGTGCTCGTATTGAGATATTGAAAATATCCCTTTTTTTCACGTCTTTCTTAGAATGCATCATCTTTTATTATTAAATATCGACTCATAACAAAATATTACAGTAGAGTAATTATAAGTAGCTATGCACATATATAGTTGAAATTGACAATTTCCCTTGTTAGAAATTTCAATTATTTTCTTTTTTGAACCATAAGATTGGATTTCATTAAAGGGCTAATGCCCCACCAAAGTATATATAATACAACATTTTTGTGCTAGCTTGGTAATATATATATATTACCAGGCTGCTTAATTCCATGCAATTTGACAACGACCTAATTAAGAATCAGGTCCATACAAACGATAGATATTTTACTTGATACCACTCTTGGAGAAAGGAAAGGAAAGGTAAAGCACAAGGGAAGCTAACAAGCATACTTTTGCTTGCACTTTAACTAATTAACATGCACGAAGTTGGTCAATGAGCTTGCTTAGGGTATGATCAGACGACCCACCTTTTTGCACCGCCCTCCTAGACACCCTCCCTAAGGCGGCTGCTCTCTTCCTTGCACTCCTTCCCTTTTGTCCTCCCATCAACTCCTTCACTCCTTCACTTACAGCTTGCCTTGAAACAACAATTTCAGAGCCTTGATTTTGCACCCTTTCAACACTAAGCCCGGCTTCAAGTCCATCCACTATAAGCTTCGCATTCAAAGGTTGTTCGGCCATCATGGGCCAAGCCAAGATTGGCACACCAGCTGCTACACTCTCGAGTACTGAATTCCAACCACAATGACTCAAGAACCCACCTATTGCACCATGAGATAGTATTTGACGTTGATCAACCCATTCTTTCACAATCAACCCTCTACCTTCTATTTTCTCCTCCATGCCACTAGGCAAAGACCATGTCTTTGAACGTACCACCCATAAGAATGGAAATCCTGACTCCTCCAAGCCGAAGGCCACCTCGTCAAGTTGAGAATCTGATACATCAGCTTGCGTGCCAAATGAAACATAGATCACAGAATCTGGTGTGATTTGCTCATCGAGCCATTGTGTTGACATGGAGGGGTTTTGGTTGATGGATTTTTCAAGACCTGAAGCCTCCGTTTTTTCGTACATAAATAAAGGGCCTAAACACCAAGCCTTAGCCCCGTTCATGTAAAAGGACTCAAAAGATGGAATATGATTCTTTTCTAACTCTTCAAAGCTATTAACAATGATTCCCCAACTGTTTGCATCAGCCTCACCCACCTCTCCTATGAATTGAGACATGGGGTCATCATGATTTGACGAGGTCACTGTTTCTGCAGGCAAGTCTGCTTTAGTCAAAGTGAAAGGAAGTTTCATACCAGGCAGGTCAACAGGATCAAGCATAGACAGTGAATTTATTTGTGGTGCATGTACCCAAGATGATTTACTAATGGCCATTGACAAAACACTCATGCCATGAAAGACTAGCCTTGGGACACCTAATGCTTGACAGGAAGCAAGTGTAAAGCCTAGAAAGAAATCAGAAATAACACATAAAGGAGTGGCGTTGGATTTTATCATGGCTTGTAGTAGCTCTTCAAAAGGCTTTTGGAGTTGTTTGGTGGCAAGGAGAAAAGGAAGCAAAAATTCCATTGAAGGAAGTTGAGATGTGTTTTCACAACCTTTAGGGAGGCCATCAATTGCGGGGAATGGAATTTCATTGATATGGATATGAGGGTGATCAGTGACATGCTTGGCCATTGATTTAGCATTTGATGGGGTGGTGATGACGGTCACTTTGATTTGTTGACGTGAAAGAGCTTTAGATAGGTCTAGTAATGGAAGAGTGTGACCTTGAGACATGAAAGGGAAGATAACAACATGGGATGTCAAAGGGGAAGGCATGGTGTCACTCTTGCTCTCTCTGGTTTCGATGGGTTATTTTGCTTTCTCAACTTGTGTCTCTCATCACTGCAAAATGAGTGCTTATATAGAGAGCAGAATATAATGCACCGAATCCAGAAATCTTATGGCATTCAAACAGTATCTACTAATACTTTTTTTTTAAAAAAAAAAAAAAGACAAACAAAAAACCAACCTGATACAACGAGAAGAAAGAGATAGAAAAGAAAAAAGTAAAAAAAAAAAAAAATTGATTCTAGATAGAAATATTTATGGTATTATTGATATTTTTTATTTTTTAAAAGATATTTGATGTATATTGTAATATTTATATTTTTCGCTTTTTAAAAGATCTTAGTTTTGAAAGATATAAAAGGCATATAATATATATAATAATATAGATATTTTTTGTTTTTTGAAAAATCTTAAATTTGAATGTCTTTCTTAAAATACAATATACGAAATGTTTTTTATGGAGAAATTTTTACACAAATCCGATTCATTGAACTAAACCGGTTTTTTTTTTAAAAAAAAAAATCGAGCAGTTTATTAAATGTACTACTAATAAAAAAACTAGGGCCGTCTTGCAGCAATTGTTGCCGTATGCCTACTTTTGGTGTTCTACTTCCATTTGTCGGCATCCAAATAAAAGCAAACTAAGGGCCTTAATTATGAATATATAGTTAAAAATTTATGATGCTTAGTTAATCAATCTTGATCACCCCCACATGGCCAACAATTGAATACCCATAAGTCAATGAATAAAGATGAATTTGACTAATTTACAGCTATGTACGTGAATCGTGATGGTGAAATTGAGGGAACACATGGGTGACTTTCAATGAACCATAATCAACTATTCACGTTACGTGTGCAATTTACACTGATTAACGAGTTTATTCTATATTTAGATCCGATATATATATATATTTTTTTTATGAAAATCTTTTATATTTTTTTTAGCATGATTGGGATTGAGATGTTTTATTTTTTAAAATTTATTTCTAGAGATCTTCTATTATGATATTATCAATTAATAAATAATTTATACGTAATATTACAAAATAAAAAATTTTGATTATTAATTGATGATGTTAAAATAAAGGAAATAAAATAACAAATTTTAAATAGTAGAGTCTCAATCAATAAAAAACAAGGTTTCAATTGAAAAAAAAATGGAAGAACATACCATCCAAATATAGGTAAAACCCACCGATTAATCCAATGGTCGTGATTAACTTTTATACGTCATACCCCTTGCTTCATGTCTAGAAAAGACAACCATTTCAGACTTTTTCTTTTCTTTTCCTTCTTTAAATACTTCATCAATCGTGTCACGCATGGCTGTGTACGTGTTTCATCTTGTTCAAATGGTAAAAGAATAACACAGATTGATTATTATTTTTACAAGTCTTGGTCAGTAGAGATCAACATTCCACAAATTATTACTGTCTGCTCAATTGTTTAATTTTTCGTTTTCTTTTAAAAGCTTTCTAGATTTTAGACCACGAATAGAATAATCTTTTTCAATTTTCTAATAACCTTCATTTCTTTGATTAATTTCATCCAACCTAAATTTAAGTGGTACTAAATTTCAATTCGTTAAAAATAACATCAAATAATTTTTATCTAATTTTTATGAAACGATCGTTAGTCCTCTTAATCGAGCGACACGTCAGTTCAAACATCGGATTTATTAAAAGCCTCGACACAATCAACGTATCGAAAAACGTCCCGATTAAAAGATGATTATTGATGATGTTAGTCCCTATCGAATAAGAGATTTCGTCGAAATTATTATAAATATCATTACTTTTTATATGCTTTTTTATGACATCAATCCCTACTAAGTAAGAGGCTTTGCCAAAAATTATATAAATTCATTTAACAGGTAGAAATATTTTTGATTTAACATACACAAAGATTAAAAGCTTGAAACTACTTTTTTCTTTTTCTTTTTTTGAAGTGTATATTGGTTAAAATCTGACGTATCTTAACCAAACCTTCCGCGTGGGCTCTCTGGACTACGTGGATTGTCATTTTCATCTTTGTCTTTCCTATCCATGCCGTGTAAAACGTTTGCAAATAGAGATTCCAAGTTTCAGAAATAGCCAATTCAAGTCCGGCATGAAAAAAATCACAAGACCAAAACGTTACAATATACTCATCCTATGATTTATATATCCAGAGACGAGGAAATCAAGGCAAGGAATTAGGTAATAGGAAAAATCCTAGGGCCATTTTGTAGCAATTGTTGCCGTATGCCTACTTTTGGTGTACTATTTCCATTTGTCCACAGGTAGCTTTTTTTGGAAAAAATCCTGCCTAAATCTTTGTGAATATCTTATCTTAACATATTTCCACCTTCAAGAACTTTCTTGATTGATTGCAATCGATTAGATAGGACAGTTGCTATGACTATTGGAAGCCTATCTTAGCATTGGGAAAAGAATCTAAAGCTAACTAGGATTTATGACAAATAATGATAGAACTAAAATAAATAAGAATAATAATAATAATAGAATTTCAAAAAAAAAAAAAAGAGAGAACTCAATAAAGCGGGCATTATAATCTTTTTTTTATTTATTTTAAAAGTCACGATAAAAATAATAATAGAACTTAAAAAAAATGAAAAAATAAAAATAAAACAAAAATGAGCCTTAAGGTGAGCTCATAATATTAATTAGCATTAGGAAATGAATCTAAAGCTAGAATTTTGGAAAAATAAGAATAAAACTCAAAAAATACAATTAAAAAGAATATAAATACAAAAGAAAAGAACCAATAAGAAGGGTATTACAGTCTACTCAATAGAATTCTAATGATGATAATATTCTTTTTTTTTTTTTCTTATGTGCTTGTCTAAGTTTTTGTCTAACTTGAAAAAAATAAAATAAAATAAAAGAGGTTAATATTTTATCACTCAATGTTGTCTTATTGAGGCATGCATAATCCATTATGAAATAAAGTCTTGATTTTTCAGAAGCATCCTTTTTATGTTTGGGCAAAAATATTATGGCGAATATTCAATTTTTATAGATTTAAACCAAGAATATAATAACTTTTTCAAGTTACCCTTCTTATTGCCTTCTCGGAAGTTTTCCTCACAATCCCTCCTAACTGATTCTAAAATGCCTCTGAATTCCTCCTAATTGCCTCTCAACTACCTCTCAAATTGCCCCCAGTTACTTCTTCTCAGAATTGCCTCAATGGCTTTTGAATTCCTCTCCATTCCCTCCTCCAATTGCCTAAACTTCACCCTTATTTATACCCAAAATCAGGCTTCCATCTTCTGAACTGATATTGCTACCAGTTTTTGGCTCTGTATAAACAAAGCCAAAAACATTTATGCTTTAAAACCCTGCCTTATGTTTTGCGTGTTTTGGGTGTGTTTGTTATGCAGGAGCTACATATGTAGGAATTGCAGGAGCTTTCTCCCTCTCGCCACTGATGGAGATGAACAATGCCAAGTGATGGTATGGTACAAGGCATGCACGCCATGGCTAGATTTTGGGAGCATTGGATGACAAGTCGTTCGGGTTAATTTTGAATGGGTCTTGTCGCCTGCTCCTCATATCCAACCAGATCTCTGGAGGTTTAGATTTGTTTCAATTGTAACCCTTAGGCGAGTCATTATAACCACTGTACTTTTGATTGTTTCAATTAGGTCCCTATACCATGTAATTTTAGTCTTGCAATTTGCAATTGCTTCAATTGCACCTCCAATTACTCTAATTGTAATTCTATTTGATTCAATTATGCCCCTAACACAATTAAATTCTTTTTGTGCTTTTATATTTTTTGTATTTTTGTGCTTTTTTTTTTTTGGTAAATTCCAATAATGAAAATAAATATAAACATAAGATAAAATAATAATAAATAAATAACAAAGATAACAACTTCATGAGAAGAACTTAGGTTATAACAATTGCTTCTTTTTTATAATATTTATAGTACAAATGTCAGTTGAAATGCCAACTTTAGATTAGATTTGCTTAATGAGTATAAGTTTAAAAAAAGGAATAAAATTGAATAACAAAAATGATCTGGATATCCTGGTGACTGTTATTAAAAAGTTGGATGCGATTTCTTCCTTTCAACATGCCTTCAGCATATGCTAACGTGCCCGAAGTTGGTCAATCAGCTTGTTCAAGGTATCATGAGACGATCCACCTCTTTGAACCGCCCGTCCAGCCACCCTGCCTAAGGCTTCTGCTCTTTCCCTTGCACTCTTTCCCTTCTGTCCTCCCATTAATTCCTTCACACCTTCACATATTGCTTCCCTTGAAACAAGAACCTCATTAGAGTCTGTATTTCGAATCCTTTTGACACTAAGGGCAGCTCCAAGTCCATCCGTTATAAATCGAGCATTCAAAAATTGGTCTCCTAACATGGGCCAAGCAAGAATTGGCACACCAGCAGATACACTCTCGAGTACTGAATTCCAACCACAATGACTCAAGAATCCACCTATTGCACGATGAGATAGTATTTGGCGTTGATCAACCCATTCTTTCACTATCAAACCTCTACCTTTTAGTTTCTCCTCCATGCCACTAGGCAAAGACCATGTCTTTGAACGTACCACCCATATAAATGGAGTTCCCGACTCCTCCAAGCCAGAAGCCACTTCATCAAGTTGAGCATCTGATACATCTGCTTGTGTACCGAATGAAACGTACATTACAGAATCTGGTGCGACTTGCTTATTGAGCCATGGTGTTAGCATAGAGGAATCCTTTTGGTTAGTGCATTTTTCAAGACCCTTCATTCTGTCATGTAAAAATAGAGGGCCTAAACACCAAGCCTTAGCCTCGTTCTTGTAAAAAGATTCAAAAGAAGGGATATGACTCTTTTCTAGCTCTTGGAAGCTATTAACAATAACTCCCCAACTCTTTGCTTCCGCCTCCATTGCTTCTCTTAAGAATTGAGATTCTGGGTCATCTTGATTTGGTGAGTCGATTAGTTCTCCAGGCAAGTCTGCTCTAGTCAAAGTGAAGGGAAGTTTCATGTCAGGCAGGTCTATGGGTTCAAACATTGACATTGATTTTTGTTGTGGTGCATGAACCCAAGCAGATTTGCCTATGGCCATTGATAGAACACCCATGCCATGAAAGACTAGCCTAGGGACACCTAACGCTTGACATGAAGCAAGGGTCCAGCCAAGAAAGAAATCTGAAATAACACACAAAGGAGGGGTTTTGGATTTTATCATGGTTTTTAGTGCCTGTTCAAAGGGCCTTTGGAGTTGTTTGGTGGCATGGAGAAACGGACCGTAAAATTCCATAGAAGGAAGTTGAGAGGTGTTTTCACAACCTTTAGGGAGGCCATCAACAATGGGGAATGAGATTTCAACGAGATTGATATTTGGGTAGTTAGCAATGTTTTCGGCTATTGATTTAGCATTTGATGGGGTGGTGACGATACTCACTTTGATTTGCTGAAGTGAAAGAGCTTTAGATAAGTCTAGTAATGGAAGAGTGTGGCCTTGAGCCATGAATGGAAAGAGAACAACATGGGATGCTAATGAGGAAGGCATGGTGATTCTCTCTAGCTTCAAAGTGTTAATTATCTTGTTTATGTGTTCTTTGTTTGTGCAAGATATGTGTGCATATATAACCTTCCAAGCAGCTTGTTGTATGGTTAAATTTTTTTTTGCTTTATTCAATTTTCTAGTTTGAATATTGATAACAATATTTAGACAACTTTATTTTATATATATATCTTTAAAATCGTTTACAAAAATTAATTTCAATTAACACGTAATCTGATCCGAAAATATAAATTATGCGTACACAATTTGTGTAATAACTATCATCGACACTATCAACTTCAACTATTACAACGTCATTAACAACTTCGAATTTATTGCTTTAATCGATTTATCAATGCCAGAATTTCGAAGTTGGCTAATGAGACAACCAAATAACTACTCGATGAAGGGGACAAACTAAAGGTCATATTACAGGACATTGATTTGTTAAAAATTTATACGATGTAAACTGTAAAGACAAGCTTCTTCTACTTCTTCTTCTTTGGTGATCAGTGAAGATTTTCACGTATAGAGGAGTGGGTGATTGGGAAATGGAATTTGAATATGCGAAGAAGTTTTTGCTGAGGAAAAGGTTTGATTTGCATGGTGTAGCTTTAGATTTCTGGACAAACCTTAAGCACTTCTGCATCAGTGAAGCAAATTTTGCAATCTGTTGAAATTGAAGTTATCTAATTCCAAGTTACTGCATGAGGCAATCAAAGTCATAGATATACTGAATTATTTATATTAAAGAAAAGGTAAAAAAAAAACTGATGGCAAGATTAATATACCCTTTTTAAACCAGTTATACCATAGGCATGCATTACTGTGTGATACCTAGCTTTTAGTTTCCCTTTCCAATCCAAGCCTTGCAAAACGTTTGCAAACGGGCATTCCAAGTTTAAGAAATTGGCAAGTCAATGTTGGGTTATGTCTCCTAATGGCAACAAGAAGAAAATGTTGGGTCAGGGAAGACTTGGTAATAGACTGATGGTGTCATTTGCAGAAAATGTTGGGTTATGTCTCCTAATGGCAACAAGAAGACTACTGTTCTTTACATCGTCCACATGCAGGCTTTTTTCTCAATAGTGCTATTTTATTTTGCTGCTTTGATTTTTTAATACTTTTGATTTCTTTTGAAGTCTGCTTCCTCGACATGATTCACAAAATAATAATAATAATTGCTGATCATTCTGGCAAGCATTTGGGGCTGGATTTTCTAATTGTAATGAGATGTTTTCAGTGGGTAAATAAAACTATATTTATAGAATTGTCTTGGAAGGTACGGGACAAGATTGTCCATGAAAAGAGGCAGGGCAGAAATGTTACAAGACAAAATTACTTGTTTTATTTTTATGTATTAAATAAATATACAAGTGAAGTTGAAGTCGTCATATCTGCTTGTGGTAAACTTTTTTTTTTTTTTTTGGTGATTAGTTGATTGGATGGATAGAATGATAAATATACAATCTTTAAAAACGTTACGTATACATTAAAGAAAAATACATATTCATATACATGTTTGGTGTTGTCATTATAGAGATCTTTATTAACGAGTTGTTGGTCGAGTGCTAAGTAAACTAGTCTCTATGTAATTTTTTTATTAATGTATAATATTTAAATTTTAAAATTATATTTATTAAGATAAATTAAATCTTATTGTTTTCATCTCGGATATGATTAATCCTATTTCTAATAGAGAATAGAGATATTTAGGTAAAACCAACAAAATTAAAGAGATTTTTATCATGTCTATGGTTGGATTAAAATTTAAGCAAATTGATCACATACTAAGTAATCATTAAATTGACTAAATTAAAAATAAATAAACTAGATTAGAAATAAAATAAAAATATTTAAATCTGATATTAACTAGATTTTTGTTAATGTAAATTTTTAATTTTTTTTAATCAAGTATTTCTATTAAATTTATACCGATATAATCATCAACTAACACATTAATATGTTGATCTATCAGTGCATGAGCAAGAATAACTAACTTCGAATTTGAGTTTATGAAAAAAAAAAAAACAAATTCTTTTTATTTGGCCGGAATTTTTCCTTAAAAAAGCACAAAATTTGAAGTTAGTTGATCAAAATCATCACAAAACAGATTAAGTAATAGAAATTAGATACAAGTATTTTATTGAAAGTTTTGAAAAAATAGATATACTTAAATTGAATATATATACACACACTCTCACTATTCATAAAGACTCAGTTTTAACGTGTGTTAGTAATTAATTTATAAAAATAAAATAAATAAATAAAAGAAAAAATATGAGTAGTCTTCAAGTTCAGATGCAATTGGGCCCTAACGTTGGTTCTGGTCCATCTGGTTTTAATACCTAGCTAACTTGATGCAGAACCCTATGAGATCCCCTTTTTTCTTCCTTTTATTTGCTTTTTCTTTTTTGGGCCTCAGCTAGAGGGATTGAAGATCATATGTTTTGGACATTCCCAAAATAAAGCATCCATGTATCCCCTGTTGCTGTCCTATTTTCTAATCCTTTTTCGATTTTACTGATTAAAAAGCTATGGAGATTTTGGACTACCCAAACAAAATAATTCTCAATTATCACTAAATTCTTTGAGACCCCAAAAATACTAAAATTTAACTTTTCAAGCTACTCTTAAGAATTTTTTTTTCCCTACTCGTTTGTAGTAAGAGAGGTCATAAGTTCTAACTTTGTTTGATTTCAGATAAATAAGAGAGGAATAAAAAATGGAATTCCTAGCTACATTACATCAAATTGGAATAACCAGATGCAATATTTGATCCTTATTAGTAATAACTTAATTATCCTTCGGTTTTGGAGCTCTAAAAGTTTCAAAATTAATCCTAGTTTTATATGGCAAGTTCGGGAATACAAAACCATCTTCAAGATGAGAAATTATTATACAAAAAAATATGTGTTATCATGTTCATCTATTATATGCTATAGTTACAGAACAATATAGATCATATTCTAAGGTTTCACTTAATAAGTTAAATTTTTTATTTGAGATAATTATTTGATATGGTATTAGAGCTTTAATAATCAAGTTGTCACATATTCGAGTCTCACCATCCCTTTTATTTTATTTTTTTTCTAATTGAGCACAAGATATTATGCGTTTGTATAAGTTTCAAGTTAAAAAAGTTTTTATTTAAAAAAATGTATTAGAAAATAATATAAAGTATATCCTAAAAGCTCACCTAGCAGTTTAAATTTTTGAATCGAGAGGGACTTTTGATATTATACATTGATGATCACTTGATTCACCTTTTAAGTAACATATAAGTTTCTTCATGCTTTGTCCATTAAATTAAGGATAAATAACTCAATTTTCTTTATATAATAGTCTAAGTCTTTAATCTATTCTTACATTTTTAATTATATTAATTATATTTTTGAATAATATTTAAATCTTTAATCTATCATTTTTGTTAATTTTATTATCATGAGAAAATTTCTTGTCGAAATGTTATTAATTGAAATGTCAAAAAAAAAAATCTAAAGAGTTAATTTTTTTTTTAAAAAAATACATTTCAGAGACATTTCTTAAAATTTGTAATATACATATTGCATTTCACTCGGTGTATTTCGATCCAAAAATTTATTAGTTATCAAAAAAATTAATCGAAAAAATAAATTGAAAACTAAAATATTATTTAGAGATATAAAAAATACAATTAAATATATAAAACCAGATTGAAAATTCAAATTATCATATAAAAACATATTAAACTATTTACATGTAAATCAATTCAATTTCCCATCCTACAAATTGGAAAAAGGATGTAAAATTTTCAAATACCAAGAGATGAGAAAAGACAAACCTCTCTCTCTCTCTCTCTCCCCCACACGCACACACATAACGGCACAATGAGTATATACTACATAAAAACACGAAGTTGGTCAAAGAGCTTGATGAGGGTATCATGTGATGACCCACCTTTTTGCACTGCCCTTCTAGCCACCCTGCCTAAGCCTTCTGCTCTCTCCCTTGCATTCCTCCCCTCTTGTCCTCCCATTAATTCCTTCACACCTTCACATATAGCTTGCCTTGAAACCAGAATTTTAGAGCCTTGATTTTGCACCCTTTTGACACTAAGCCCGGCTCCAAGTCCATCCACCATAAATTTAGCATTCAGTAGTTGATCAGCTATCATGGGCCAAGCCAGAATTGGCACACCAGCTGATACGCTTTCCATCACTGAATTCCAACCACAATGGCTCAAGAACCCACCTATTGAACGATGAGATAGTATTTGACGTTGATCAACCCATTCTTTGACAATCAAACCTTTACCTTTTACTTTCTCCTCCATGCCACTAGGTAAAGACCATGTCTTTGATCGTACCACCCATAGGAATGGAAATCCTGACTCCTCCAAGCCAAAAGCCACTTCATCCAGCTGAGAATCTGATACATCAGCTTGTGTACCAAATGAAACATATATCACAGAATCTGGTGTGACTTGCTCGTTGAGCCATTGTGTTGACGTAGAGGAATGGCTTGGGTTAGTGGAGTTGTTGATTTCCATTTCGTCATACAAACATAGAGGGCCTAAACACCAAGCCTTAGCCCCATTGACGTAGAAAGATTCAAAAGATGGGATATAACTCTTTTCTAGCTCTTCAAAGCTATTAACAATGATTCCCCAACTCTTTGCATCAGCCTCTCCTGCTTCTTCTATGAATTGATAAAATTGGTCATCAAGTTCTGGTGAGTGGAGTGGCTCTGGCAAGTCAGCTTTAGTCAAAGTGAAGGGAGTTTTGATGTCAGGCAGATCTAAAGAATCAAGAATTGGCATTGATTCTAGTTTTGGTGCATGGAACCAAGCAGATTTGGTAATGGCCATTGATAGAACACCCATGCCATGAAAGACTAGCCTAGGGACACCAAAAGCTTGACAAGAAACCAGTGTCCAGCCAAAAAAGGAATCTGAAATGACACATAAAGGAGGGGCTTTTGATTTTAACATGGTTTCTAGTGCTTGTTCAAAGGGCTTTTGGAGTTGTTTGGTGGCCTGGACAAAAGGAAAGTGAAATTCCATAGAAGGGAGTTGAGAGGTGTTTTCACAACCTTCAGGGAGGCCGTCAACAATGGGGAATGGGATTTCAATGAGGTTGATATTTGGGTAGTTAGCAATGTTTTTGGCTATTGATTTAGCATTTGATGGGGTGGTGATGATGCTCACTTTGATTTGTTGGCGTGAAAGAGCTTTTGATAGGTCTAGTAATGGAAGAGTATGGCCTTGAGCCATGAAAGGAAAGATAACAACATGGGATGTTAAACGGGAAGAAGGCATGATGACTTTTACTCTATATCTTCAAACTATTTCGTGTGTTTTTGTGTCTTACTTTAGTGTATCATCGACATGCTTAAATAGAGACATGAATACTTGTAGATTTAGCTTCGATAGAAGGATTAGTAGAAAGTTTGTCCGTGTTATCATTAGGATTTAAATTCAAACTAGGGCCGTTTTGCAGGAATTGTTGCCTTATGCCTGCTTTTGGTGTACTATTTCCATTTGTCCACAGCCAAATAAAAACAAACAAAGGGTCTTAATTATGAATATATAGTTAAAAATTTATGCTGCTTAATTCATCAATCTTGATCATCCCCCACATGGGTTAAGATGAAATTGTGGGTGACTTTCAATGAACAATGATCAAGCTGTAACGTTACGTGTGTAATTTACATTAGATCCGATATTTATTTGTTTTTTTTATAGAGACTTTTTATATTTTTTTTAGTTCGATTGGAATGTTTTATTTTTAAAATTTTTCTATTATAACATGATCAATTATTAAATTATCGATATGTAATATTATAAAATAAAAAAATTATGATGGTTGATTAATAATATTATAATAAAAGATCTAAAATAATAAATTTTAAACAATAGAGCCTCACTGAATGGAAAAAAAAAATTCTTGCTTCATTTCTAGAAAAGACCTTTTCTTTTCTTTTCCTGCTTCAAATACCTCGTCAGTTGTGTTACGCATGGGTACGTGTTTCATGTTGTTCAATACATTTGTTAATTAATAAATGTCATCCGATGGAAGAGATTATCATGTATTAGACACGAGGATTTCCTACGAACAACAGGAATTATCATTCAAAACATAAAATGAAATAATGAATACAATCAACAAATTAGTCCTAACATCTAATCAAGATAAGATCAAGCAAATTATATATTCCAAACATCTAAACAAAGGAAAAGATCAAACATTTTATATAATTTATTTATTCTATTTCCTTAATTGTTTGGTTGTAATTATTACATTATATCAGATAATAATCAAGAATATTTATCTTGCTTATTTTCTTAACAATATAGACAGTCTATTTAAGGTTTGTTTGAGAGAGAAAATTGGGAAATGTTATTTCCACTCCAATTTTTGTTAATTGCACAACAAAATATAGGATAAGTCCAAATAACCCTTATCAATAATTAATAATTAGTTGTATCTTCTTTTTTTTCTTCATTTTTGTTTAATTTTCCATTCTCAAATAGATAATTAATAAAAATATTGAAAGATCCTAGTTAAGAAGTGTCACAAAAATATCAAGATAAATTACCAAATTTAATTCAAAAACCATCTCAACCCAAAAATTTAAATTATTAGATGAAATTCTAAAAATTTTGTTATATTTTTCTAATATACATCCTTAATTGAAAGTCAATTAACTTGAAACGTGTAAAGTGATATGGCGAAATTCAAACTCGTGATCATTTGATCATTAAAATTCGATACTATGTCAAAGAATCATTTTATCCTAAAAATTTAAGTTGTTAGCTAAAGTTTTAAATAAATGATTTTATATTTTTCTAACATAACTTCCTTATATTGAATTAATTACCTTAATCTGTTGGTACTAATCGTTCCATAAAATTGTTTGTTAATGCAACAACCGAATAAGTCAAACCAACGGTTGTTGTCACAAATAAAATTAAGGTCTTACAAGACATGTGAATTTTCATAAATTTTAATCATTGTTCCTTCATATTCTTGCTGCCCTCCACGTGATCACATGGCCAAGTAGCTATATAATCCCAAAGAAAATATTAATTACCCGGGTTGTAATGAACGAAGCAAATCGAAAAGACAAATTAGAGTTGACAAAGATGAAGCTCGAACTTTTTTTTAGGATATATATAAAAAAAGAAGAGAGATTCAAATTTGAAATTTCTTGATGAACGGAGAAGACTACATCTCATTGACATACTCTTTTGTTAATTAACAGCGATATACATGAATCTCTTAAATACACTAAATTGATATAAAGGTATGCACAATAAAAAATGACACCAAATTTGTGAAGATAACAATCAATCTATAAATTTCAACATCGAATTCTAAATAACTTGACACTTGTTCAAATAAAATAAGAATATTATTAAATCCATCGAATATTTTGTTATTCTCACTAAAGTTTTTATTGTAAATTATCAACACACCACCACATATCAAGTTAGTGATTAGATGTAAGGATTTATTAGTAATTTAAAATAAAAATTTAATGAGAATAACAAAACACATGATGAATTAAGCAATACCCATAAAATAAACTCCAAACTTAATCGATTTTGATAAGGTTAAAAACCTCACTACAACTTCAACTAATAAACTCAAAAGTTGTATTCAACAATCAACAATACTATTATTTTGACTTGTTAAAAAAAAACACATAAAAAATACTTTTGCAGCCTAATAGCTGAAACCTTAGATTAAAAACTCCTAGCTCCTAAATAATAGCTAAAAATAAATTGCAAGTAGTCAGAGGATTCTAATTTGAAAAATAAATGGACTCTAATTGAGAAAATAAATTGAATAACCTTACAAAATCTAATAAAATATTGCTGAATTAAACTCCTTACATGAAAAGAAAATAAATTAAATACCTACAATAAAAATAAATAAATAAATCTGGAAAGATTGCTAAATTAAAACACTCTCATGTCAAATTAAATGGAATCCTTAAAACAACCAGCTCCTTCTCCCATGATTTTTCAAAAGACATCGATCGGTTTCATGGCTTAGACTAAGGGAGCCACGGTCGAATTTCTTGACGTTTCACATTGATTCGATCATCCAACAATTACTATGACTTATAAATTATAAATTAATTCCTTTAGTTTTGAGAAACAAATTAATTAGTTTCTTTTATTTTAAAAATTAATAATTTAGTCTTTATATTTTTAGATTTAATTTCTTGTAACTTAATCATTTTCACTATTTTTCAATTTATTTTTATTTTTTATTTTAATGAATAAAAAAATAAGTTAAAATATGAAAAGATTGATGAAAAATATGACATTGTATAAAATTAGTAAAGTAATATTAAATTAAACTTGGCCAATATGATCATAGAACTAAATAACTAGTTGTTCAAACATACTGAACTAATCGATTTGTTTGTTAAAAATAAAAGGACTAATTTATAATTCACTGTTTAATAATTAAAAAAAAAACCTAAAGCAATCATCCCCCGACTAGATTGGTCATAAGACTCAATTAATAATAGCTACATTCAATGCAGTCAATTAATTTTTTCACTTAGCATATTGAGGCTTTATATGGTTAAGATTAGTTTAACGATAGTTTTTTTTATGAAAGAAGATGATATCTTTTTATTGTGTAATTCAAAACCCATCAAACTTCTTAATAAATAAATAAATAAATAAATAAAACATTACAAGAAGATTACTGGATTTTAGACGACAAATAGAATAATGTTTTCCATCTTTATTATTCATACCCATTTTTTGCAGTATTTAATTTCAAATAATCTTTACCGATTTAATCAGTTAGTAAGCTTTGTAGTGTGACAGTTTTGAATTCCCTTTTCCAACCCTAAGCAAAACATTTGCAAATGGAGATTCCAAGTTTAAGAAATTGCCAATTCAGGTCTGGCATGACAATTTTGTTTTCTTTTATTCAACAGTGAAAGTATTCTCAAGTTAGTTTATTCATCAATCAAGACTAAATTTTTTTTAAAAAAAAATTGATATAATTTAACATGATGAAAATATTTGATTTATCAATTTTTACTGGCACTAATCAGTTTGGTAGGTGACATTGATGTTCCAATTTTATAGCTCAAGTCCTAATGAGCTTTCAAATGGATTAATTAAAGAAAGTACAAAAATAAAAATGATATAATCGACATAGAATTGCTTAGTAGTAGTATTATTATTATAGATAATAAGGTATTTTCACATCTATCAAGATTAAGTTTTTATTTTCTAGCTAAATCAATGTCGAATCATGTTTAACTTTAGGTCGCAATTCCATAACCGAATTTTTTATATCATTAAATGTATTGACTACCTCCACTATAGAGAAATGGGAATGGATAGATAAAATTAATTACAATTCCAGGTGCAAATGCAATTGAAGACATCTTCCGCATATAGAATGCATACTCCAGTGCCGTTCCATTTAACCTTGCAATCGTATTGGCATTTTGAGGAATCACATTTACCTGCAACAGGAGTAGGGATTTCATCATTGCACAGTAGTGATTCTACTTGAGACACCGACAGAGTAACTGCACAAAATATGAAAAATATTATAAATATATAATCACATTAAAATACAAAGATAATTCTTAAAAAATGTAAGAAAATCAGTCCAAGGTTATGATGAAAATCAAAGGCATTTGGGAAAGGAAATGATAATAAAGGTCTCATGGGAACATTAAAAAAAAAAAAACCTGAAAAAATAAAGAGAAGGACAAAGAATAGGCTGCAAGAAACCCTAGCCATCTTTAGCTAATGTATATGGTAAGAGAATGTCAGTTTATAGACTTGAATAGAATGGTGATTTAGTATCTCGGGAAGTTGCAGTATTTATAGCGGATGAAGGCTCAAGGTTAATTAATAGTTACAAATCTATGTGATTAGAAAAATAACACAGATCAAACCCTAGAAATTTTAAAATATTCAAGAAATAATTATCAATATTTACTTCCTTGAATATAGTTTAAATAGTGATCTATATACATCGCAAATTATATGGAAAGCAAATAAAAAATTTGTTTCCTTTTTTTTTTTTTTTTTGAAATTATTAGCTATATCAAAAAGAGAATCTTTTGTTTTCTACAAAGGAAAAACCTTATAAAAATAGTATTGATTCTAATTTTAAAAAAAACTGCCTATACATCTTGCTTTGGAGTTATTGAACATAGTAAAACATATAGGGAATTTGTTTTTGTCATTTGTTGAATCTTTTTCGCTTTAAAATTATTAGTCGCATCAAGAAGAAAATTGTTTTAAAATTACTTAAAAATTAATTA